GTATGTTGCTTCTGTCAAGTAATGTCTATAATATAGTGCATCTTACAGGTATGTTGCTTCTGTCAAGTAATGTCTATGATATAGTGCATCTTACAGGTATGTTGCTTCTGTCAAGTAATGTCTACAATATAGTGCATCTTACAGGTATGTTGCTTCTGTCAAGTAATTGTCTATGATATTGTGCATCTTACAGGTATGTTGCTTCTGTCAAGTAATGTCTACAATATAGTGCATCTTACAGGTATGTTGCTTCTGTCAAGTAATGTCTATAATATAGTGCATCTTACAGGTATGTTGCTTCTGTCAAGTAATGTCTACAATATAGTGCATCTTACAGGTATATTGCTTCTGTCAAGTAATGTCTATAATATAGTGCACCTTACAGGTATGTTGTTTCTGTCAGAGTAATGTCTATGTCTGATATAGTGCATCTTACAGGTATATTGCTTCTGTCAAGTAATGTCTACAATATAGTGCATCTTACAGGTATGTTGCTTCTGTCAAGTAATGTCTATAATATAGTGCATCTTACAGGTATATTGCTTCTGTCAAGTAATGTCTATAATATAGTGCATCTTATAGGTATGTTGCTTCTGTCAAGTATTGTCTATAATATTGCGCATCTTACAGGTACATTGCTTCTGTCAAGTAATGTCTATATTATAGTGCATCTTACAGGTATGTTGCTTCTGTCAAGTAATGTCTATAATATAGTGCATCTTACAGGTATGTTGCTTCTGTCAAGTAATGTCTATAATATAGTGCATCTTACAGGTATGTTGCTTCTGTCAAGTAATGTCTATAATATAGTGCATCTTACAGGTATGTTGCTTCTGTCAAGTAATGTCTACAATATAGTGCATCTTACAGGTATGTTGCTTCTGTCAAGTAATGTCTATGATATAGTGCATCTTACAGGTATATTGCTTCTGTCAAGTAATGTCTACAATATAGTGCATCTTTCAGGTATGTTGCTTCTGTCAAGTAATGTCTATAATATAGTGCATCTTACAGGTATATTGCTTCTGTCAAGTAATGTCTATGATATAGTGCATCTTACAGGTATATTCCTTATGTCAAGTAAAGTCTATAATATAGTGCATCTTACAGGTATGTTGCTTCTGTCAAGTAATGTCTATAATATAGTGCATCTTACAGGTATATTGCTTCTGTCAAGTAATGTCTATAATATAGTGCATCTTACAGGTATGTTGCTTCTGTCAAGTAATGTCTATAATATAGTGCATCTTACAGGTATATTGCTTCTGTCAAGTAATGTCTATAATATAGTGCATCTTACAGGTACATTGCTTCTGTCAAGTAATGTCTATAATATAGCGCATCTTACAGGTATATTGCTTCTGTCAAGTAATGTCTATAATATAGTGCATCTTACAGGTACATTGCTTTTGTCAAGTAATGTCTATAATATAGTGCATCTTACAGGTATGTTGCTTCTGTCAAGTAATGTCTATAATATAGCACATCTTACAGGTATATTGCTTCTGTCAAGTAATGTCTATAATATAGTGCATCTTACATGTATGTTGCTTCTGTCAAGTAATTTTTATTAATATCTACTGAGATTAATAGTGGAAAACACCCGTTTGAATATGGCTAAAACGAAACAAGAAATACTTATTTATTTAGGAAATACGAATAGGAGCAACATTCCCCCTTGTGAAAATTGGAATAAAGTAGGGTGTCGGCAGCGTTTAAAATTCCCGCCTGCCCGACCGTCCGGAACGGTCTATTTACATCTCGGAAGGTCAAATTTCAAAAGTAGCCTGTCCAGTGGTCTGGTAGATGTTTTTACCCCTAAGACTAAATATTTCATAATATCAGACAGGTTCTCTTGTCGGCAGTTTGAGGTGTTTAAGGTATTATGATAATTATGTTAAACTATTTACGATTTACGTTTCGGTATAGCTTCTTATACTGTTGTCAAGCAAGAGCACTCTTGCTTGACAACGGTATAAGAAGCTATACCGAAACGTCGCATCATAACAAATAAAGAAGTTGTTATCAATAAAGTATTATACTTTTCTACTTTCAGTTTACCTAAACTCGGTGCATTGCCTGTTAACGTTAGTACTATGTAGTTCATTGAAAGGCCTACACATGTACACACGAAAGTATTCAGAAACCTTTTTGTTTGTTTTTCATTGTTGAAAACCGGACAGGCAAGTTTGTATCCGCACTGGTAATTTTTTAAAGTTACCAGTCCGGATTTTGGGAGTTTTAACACTGGTGTCGGACTGGTATTGTATGATCATCAAACCAATATGGATTTCTAGTGCTTTATCAGTATCACAATTCTGCCTGTAAATAATTACTTCTGGCAAAGTGATCGGAACAGTGAACGAAATTTTATGCCAATTAATGGGATGTACTCATACGATCCATCAAACTGGACCCTTTTTATCTATCTTTTTCTATTTTCCCCTACAATCTCTTACCAACAGTTTCGATTAACCAAGATACCATGTGACAATTCTTCATTTAACAATCAATAATCTTGACCTTCACTACAACAGATTGGCTGAAAATAGCACTTAAATAACACTCATGACCGAAAGAAATTCTTTGCGATCGGGCAAGGATATATATATATAAGAGAAAGGAGACTTAAGAAGAATATGTAGTATGATGTCAGCTGAAAGGCAAAGGAAAACATATTTTAATGTAATCAGAGATGGAAAGAAAGTTTGATAAATCTGATTATGTCTGTTTAACTCATTTTTTGCAACAGACTGTAATAAGAAATCTGTGCCCGGGTAATTCTTTTCGAACTGGCCTTTTTTCAAAAGTTTTAAATTAATTCTTAAAATTACAAAAACACACATATAAGTCTGTATAGTTCTAACAGTTTAGTGCGAGTACAGTTCATTTTTTAAAATAAAGGCAACTTACCATATATCAATTGAAGATGAAACATATGATAAAGTCAACTGAAAGTTCAATTCACTTCACTTCAATATCAAATCTTTTCGAGAAGTTGTATTACATTCAAATACTTTCTCATTTGTTTAACAATCTGTATATAATTACTTTATGAATTGCATCAAATACAATCACAAAATAGACTCCCCTGTCTAATTTCCTACCTTTGAACAACTTAAAATACGTGTATCAATTTTAGACAAACATAATACATCTTTATACCAAACATTCAGTTTCATACTTACAGTTGCGAGGAAAGCTACACCGTCCAAACAAAATCAAACTGTTACAATGTATAAACACACCTTCTTACCTGTGCGTCGACGGCTTAGAATGCCCTGTCTCCTTCAGAATGGTTGTCAGACCAAGACCATGACGTGACCTTCGGGTGTTTATCTTCATAATGTCTGTATAATATATACTGTATCTAGAGACAAACACCATTAGAAGGTACTTTATACGCCTTGGGGCAATGCACTCATCGTATTTCCCTATAAACACACTACATGTTAATGCATGCTTTTTGTAAACATACGAGAGTGTCCATGTGTCGGACTTAGGGACCGCGTATATCGATCTGGAGTTCGTCATCGTGTTATATGATTTATCTCATTACTAAAAGCAAACGTGATCAAAAATCAATACACGGTGCACAGACGAAAGAAATATATTGTGAAGAACGGCTGCCACAAATCTCATGCAGATTAATTAACAAGGGTGAATGCATTTCTCCTCCCCAACACCACACTAATGAGGGGCACATACACGTGATGATGTATTAATTTGATTCACACCCTTTCCCTCGTGAGCAGTTCAGTGTGATAGAAACGGGGTTGGTTTCAGCCGACTTCCGTTTTATCAGATCATGTTGCGACAAATGCGATTTCTCTTCCATTAACTAAAAATTAATGTTTGTTTGGTAGGTTTGGTTTTTATGGAAACTATTTGTGCCACAAACAAACCACAGACTCGTACAAAAAAGAGTGTCATGGGTATCTAAATGTGTATCTTACAGTGTGATGCTTGTAGCTTTTTGTTCTCATCTATATGATTGGACTCGGCGATACCAGATAAATTCCAACTCACTTTTACAGCGTCAATGATATTGTCCAAATTTTACACCGACATTGTGTATGCCAACAATAGGTAACTGTGCAGAGAAGTTCGAGGGTCGAATCCGACGAGGATGGCAGGGGAATCCACATGCACAGACTCTGGCAGTCTGAGGCACAGGCCCTCGTGTCTATTCAGGGATTAAAGATTTTTAAAATATATATATAAATTTGAGATGACCCCCGACTCGAACTAGCCCTCTGTAGTACTGGCTAGCGAAAAGTTATCGCCGCTTAACAGTTATCGCCAATACATCAGTATCACACGTGCGCAGTTCCGGTCAATTACAATTCCGGTATTTATTTGACAGCAACAAAGGACAGCAAAAGAAAATTCTTCACGGTAAGTAACATAAGAGAAAAATTAAAGATAAAGTCATGAACCCTATAAAAATAATTAACTTAGTCGGGGGGATGTCCCACGACCTATATAATAGAAAGTTCAAGTTCACAAATGATTAATTGTTTCATTCCCTATCAATGTACTGTAAAAGAAACACTCAAATAATCACACAATCAATTATTCGAGGTTACTGTATGATATAAATATATATATTATTCACGAATGACATGAGAAATTCTAAATGGCGATAACTGTTACAGTTAGTTGTAAGTAAACATCTATTTCTACTGCCATGATTCCCTTCCGCCGGGTCATATAAAACATGATCGGCGGCAGTGAACGGGCTGGACACATCGGTGGATAGCTAATTAAGTATCATGATTAATTTTGTTTCATTAATTTAACGAACGGCTGACTAATTTTGTAAATACCGCTAAAATACGTCGATAACTGTTCGGTAGCCAAAGGTAAGCTAAAATACAACCAAACAATTAACGGGGTAGAATCGGATTACACACTATCCTCAAGGTGGCATGGCACTCGGAGCATCCTTAGCAAAGCAACAGTTCGACAGCAAATGTCATTATACAGACAACGAAATCTGATGTTACTATGAATTTATTACTTACATATAAGTGCAAGCGTTTTTGCAAAAACAATTAGCTTGACTTAAACCACAGGAGTCTTTGCAGACACATAATTTGTATCATGTAATACAGGGGCATGAAAACAACAGAGCCTCTGGTTTTTTTATTTCCTAAAGATTAATACATGGAAATTTAACGTGGACGAACATAAAAGTCATACATGATCTTGATGAGGATGAAGAATGCAGACAAAAGGGTAAACCTTTGGTGATAACCTATCAGTCTCAATGCCTCAGCTCTCTGACGAAAGCGGAAGAACCTTGACACCTGGGACCCCTCCGATCCTCTTCTGTGAAGACAGTATTCATTCCTATGGGACTTTAACACTCCATCACATGTACCAGCACTACCGTCTCTACATGCATTACACCCTAGACATTGGTTCCCATATTCCCCTTTCACAGGCATGCCACGAGTAGATGCTAACACATCCTTTAGGATGCAGGGACCTTGGGCTGACACTGAAGGAGAATGATGCTCATGTTTCAAGATTCCTTCTCTCTGGTTAGAATCACAACGTGCACTCTTTTTGGAGGATGTGGGTTTCCTGGTATGGAATTTCGTTGTCTTGCCATTCTTGGTCTCCCCTTTGTCTATAACAATGTGGTTCCTTTGGCCGGAACTTGAGTGTGGTGAGGGATCCCTAGAGGAAGATGGTTTCCCGGTGAAATCTGTTGGGGTGAGTACATTTCATAGTTAGTTAGTAAGCTATGTAACTGGATAAAACAAACCAATGATTGACTGCATGAGAATCATAGGCGGATCCGGGGGCTGGGTGGGTGTGTGTGTGTGTCAATGACCATTGAAACTCGGGTGAAAATGAAGTGTGCACCCTCCCTTTTCTCAATAGTGTGCACCCCCTCTTTCTCAAAACGCTGTATCCGCCCCTGAGAATACGATTAAACTTTATTATCCATTCGTCACCACTCGCCCCTTTCCGTAACCGCCATTCGGCTTGTCCCGGAATAACACGAGTTGGTCACGAATGTTTATTATCATGGGCGTTGGCCTAGTGGTTAAAGCATTCATTCTTCACCTGGGGAAGACCCCCACATGGGTACAATGTGTGAAGCCCATTTCTGGTGTCCCCCCAGCTGAAATATTGCTAAACGGGGAGAACTCACTCACTCACTCACTCACTCTATTTCCATTATATGACTTTTACAAGCCATGCTGATATGATCAACAAAGGAGAATGTTCTATGGATATACAGAGTCTTCATTACAACGCATTTGGTGTTTTCCATCAAGTGTTGCAACACTGTTATCAAGATGTATTTAAGAAGTTGTACATCCTTAGAACTATCTCAGCAGTCATATACACTATTTAAAACGCCAAAAGAAACGTTACCCTCCTACATTTATGAATTACTGAAAAACTATCAAAGATATGTTAGAAGGTATTAGTTTACAAGAAAGCTTAACAACACAGCTTTATGCAAATCACGAAACAAATTCTCAAATGCATTCATATTTAGGTGAAATGCATCTTTTTCGTAAGAGTTAAATTGTCCTATTTTCGTCCATGCCGAAATAAACCAATAACAGTGATTTAGATGTCAACAGAAAGGTTGAAATAAAATTCTGGGTTGAGACAAAGATAAACCATTTAAAGTCACAATTTTTCAACTATTAAAGCAAATAAACAACTGTTGTAGAGTGTGTAAAATTGTAAAATAATCATTCCTGTGATTTCCGTCTTTTAAGACATTTTCTGCTGATTTGCATTAGTGAAAACACGTAAAACGTGTCTTTGATATTGTGAAAAAATATTTAGGAACATCTAAAATTATTTTTGTTGACATTTTTGCTTGCAAAGTAACATTTTTCCATTTTCGGTTCACACATAGCAATATCAATCGGCAAAACGCAGCAGTATTCAAGCAGTATTTGCATCCATTTCACATGCAGAATGATTCTATAGGGTATGCAGAGAGCCTAGAATACATGATATGATACACAAGTACGATATGCCACGATTAACAGCTGAAGAGAGAGAAAGAGCCATTGTAATGAGGTCGACATACAATGCTGTTGCCAACGCCCTCGGATGCCATCGTATCACGGTTATAAGACTTATTCAGGGCTTCTGACAGAGCGGGATCACCGCAGACTGACCAAGAAGTGTACATCCACACATCACAACGCCAGCTGAAGATAGGTACCTCCTTCATTAAGGAAGGAGGGTAACGTTTCTTTTGGCGTTTAGTGTATGTGGAATAGTGCTGTATTGAACAACAATCAAACCTCGTAAGTCCTAACCCTGAATCTCTAATTGCAGTAGTCCATAAATGTTCATGACAAGTGGCAAGTCCTAATTTACACTGGCAATCTGTGAGGGCTCCCTGTTTTTCCTACATCGGAAAAGTTATATAAACCATTGGTCTGAGACCAGCTATAGACAAGTTTGATCTGGATCGTAGTTTCCATAATAAAATCAGTAAGAAGAATCCACAGTGAGACAAGTCAACGAAAAATGCATTTGTGCAACCATAACATTGGTAAACAAAACCACAGTCTTTACTCACTTCCTTGTTTAACCTGTTCTTCTGGAGGTTTTTTAATCAGATCATCCAATATCTTGATGGTGTTGTAGTTTCGATCAAAGTCTCGTGAGATGGTATCTCGGACGCTTTCTCCGCCTGACCATGCGACCTCAAGCTTGACCCACTGACCAGACACGTTCAAAGACCTGTTGGTCCTCTCTTCCCAACGGATTACCTTAACAAGATAACACAATCATAATCCATGCATTTCGCCAAATACGCATCGTTCATATCCCCCAAAATGTTAGAAGAACCGTCATTATTCTACTATATAATTACTGAATGTGGGTACACCTGCTTTGATGAACATAATCTAGACTGGATTTTGTTCAAATGTATAACTCCTCTCTTTGAAAATTAAATTAACGAAGAATCATTCAGGGCGTGTCTCGCACAGAAAGTTATTTATCCTTCTTGTTTTAAAGGTTGTTACATGTAATGCTGCTATATTCTATACAGTACCTCCTTCCTTTCTTTGTCTATAACCACAAGTTTCCACTCTATTTCAGTTTCATTATCGGTCACGAAAGATCCTTTCCATTTCCCTGATCCTCTAGGGTAGCAACTGTCCATCAGTACACAACCTCCAGGTTCCCAGCACCCCAGAGTCGGTGTCGAGCCAATAATACCTAGAACCTTTCCGGGAGGAGTGACGTAGTTTGTATACACGTCTACTTTACAAGTATTGAAAATGATGACTTCATTTTCCACATTCCATTCTGAATGGACAATGACACTACACTTTTCGATTAAAAGTAGTCTTTCATTTATTGTTTCGCGCCTCTCTATTTCCCCGTCGTGACCAAGAAGAAGCCACGACCAGCGAAACTGTGTGTCGGTGGGTACCTTCAGGACTGCTTCCCAAACTTGTTTTACGCCGTCTCTGCTAGAGCCTTCAACAACTGGCAAACACCTCGCGCGCTGGTAAAGGCCTTGTTCATTTATAATCCGCCAATTTCCTAGCTCTGGAATAGAACCGACGATTGCTGGCTGCTCTCCATCGAGCCGAGCTCGCAAACAAACTCGGAAGATCACTTTAACGTATTGTGGCGGCATGTGTGTGGCGTTTCTTCTCCCGTAAAGATCATAAACCGAAAAAGACGACGACACATGCCGCCATTGTTGTTGTCAGTGGAGACGCGATCAATGTCAAGGACAAACAGAAAGTAGGGTTATCTCCCTTATTGCTCATGGCCCTGTTTTGTTTGTACGTTTATTTTACGCTGCACTCCGCAATACGACACCTAATATCGTGGCTCTGCATATAGTCTAGACCACACAATCCAGTGTTTGACATCATGACTATGGGTGATTGGTGACATATTTTAACTAGAACCCCTAGGTTCACATAGCTGCGCTCCTAGAAGTCATGCAGTAGAAAAACAGTCAATAACACTTTAGACGAGAGCAAAATAAAACGTCATAATTAAATACATTCGCAATATGCAAATTCAAATGCTATTCATATGCGATTTCAAAGACGACCGACAATCATTGACTCTAGATGCTCTGGTAGAGACTGAAATAACTTTGTACTTCAAACAAATAGTAAGTTCTGGGAAAATATTGAAACAGACTGAGCATTTGATATCGATTTGTAGATCTGATGTTAGGCCAGCTGTATCTCAGCGTTGACTAAGTGATCATTTGAGCTTGTGGGGCAAAATTTTGTAGCTGGGGCAGTTCGACTGGTACCCATGAGATATATATTCAAAATCATAAGAGATTTCACATGAGCTTAAAAATGTTTCGCTATAATGTTCGTTCCGGTTTGGAGCCCTAATTGCTGCAGTCTATCTGAAAAATTGCCGAATGTTACATTCATTGTTTTACATTTTGTTCAATTACGCACGTCAGCACCAAACTATTTGTCAATATAGTGTGTGTCGTGAAAGTTGTTCTGTATTCTCATTGGCTGACAAGATGTCATTCCAAGGTTATGACCATAACTATTTCCATAACCAAAAACTAGGGAAACATACATTGTCCTGACTAGTATTTTATAATTCACCAGTTTTCGGGGAATAACTTATCTGCGTCGCTTATATTATCTCTGCTCGACCAGGCTGGGATCTTGTATGGAGACTTGATACGTTATTAACAAATAATTCCAGTGTAATTTCTATAGCACATAATTTCTATTTTCTCCCGTCTGAAGCATAATGAAAAAAAAAATTAAATCGCAGACATCCTGTAGTCACCCATTTGACACAAAAAGGAACTGAGATCACATTTCAAAAAAATGTGTTCGTAGGTATTGTTGATTTATATATAGGGGTAGGTATGCTGGTTTAATTGTATAACATTTTGCTGACAAATGATATGCCTAATAAATTCTATGGTCTATTTTTCAAATTATTTTGACATCAAGTGGTGCCTCCGGCTCTTCACGGGAATATTGTCGTGCAAGATGTAAAATCGGACCGTATTGATACGGTGTAACATCCATTTCTGAAATGACATCAGGAACATTATTGCTTCAGAACCCATGGACTCAAAGAGGAAGTCATCAGCAATAGGCACATATGACGCCATGTCACGTGATACACCCCTGTGCTCATTAACTGTCGGGTGTTTCCATAATATGCGGAAATACGAGTACGTTTTTCATTCGTCACCACTCGCCCCTTTCCGTAACCTCAAAGAAGTATTCGGCTTGTCCCGGAATAACACGAGTTGGTCACGAATGTACGTTTTTGTGTGTATTGCGATTTTACAAACCTCTTGTGATACTTTAGTAACGGAGGGTGACTTTTAGGATGTTTTTTTTCCAAATATCAAAAATAAATTACGTTAGTATTCTCCTTTAAGAATACAGGATTCTCGTTATAGTGCACTCTTTCAGTCCAGTTCTACACACGGTAAATGTTGGAGCAGATATGGTTTGCCGTCCCTCCCATCTCAAAACATACACCCACCATACAAGATGGTACTTTTTATCTACTCATACACTAACTGCCCCCACCTCAAGACACGCACGCGCATACACAGACACACACAAATATATACAAGAAGAAACCTACAGATTATTTGCTGCCACGCGGAATTCATACTTACTAAATTTACACATATACACAGATGTTTAGAGTATAACGTTACATTTTACCACGAACTCTCCAACGGATTGACGACAGTTTTCTAGGAAATTGAACTGGGTCACAAACGTTCTGACGAACAAGGAAGTCCTCTCCCATATGGCAGGACATATCACGTGGTCAGGATATCAGTTTGTGAAAACATTTGTAAACAGAAAAAGAGAAACAGTGACTGCGCAGTATAAACACATGTGTTTCGAAATGATCCTCCTTTGGTTTTTTCATCTGAAACATTCAAGCCGTTAGACAGCCGGTTAATGGCTCCATCGGGGAGAACTTGAAGGGAGATCAGTGGTGAAGCCCATTTCTGGTGTCCCCCGCGGTGATGTTGCTGGAATATTGCTAAAAGTGGCGTAAAAGCATACTCACTCACGCACTCACTCACTCACTCAGATACTTCGGCCAAGTCACTTGCTTATGGGTACAGAACTATTATATCATGTTATGTGGTTATAATGCTGGTAATTACTCGGGTATTATATGCTTGTATGCTTCAATGAAAGTTATATGATTTGTACGTGAAATATGTCACCAGTCATTAATTTTTCGTGAATGTCAAAGCGGAAGTTTCTCCATTACGGAATTTGAGATGAGGCTTCGTAAACATCCTGGCTGCAACATGACACTTATATTCTGATTGGTTGAAAACTAATTCCATGTTGAGATTTTTTCTGGAAAATACATTATATATAGGAGCATATAGTGTTTTGTTCACAGCCTCGAGCTATTTTGTGGCCATGGCAACCACTGTTATGTTCCGACTGCTCCTTGCTGTGTGCTGCAGTGTCGTCTGCTCGGCCTGGCTGTTCAAGAAAGGAGGCGGTATTCAGTTGGCAGACTATAGGAAGTAAGTTCGTCCATTATATCTTGAAACAATGTTGACAATCGGACTGGTTAGACCAATCCTATGACACATGCTCATGGTTCTGACTGATTCGAGTTTATTAAGTCGCCAGGATCTGCTAGATTGTCAATTCATCATTTTTAAAATTCTTCCTTCGACACTCCCTCTTACCTTTATCCCGATTAAGGGATGTCACGAGTCTATTTGTTACATATCTGACCATGTAATTAAAATAGAAGTATTTTTTATAGCTAATTACAGTTTGACCCCCTTATAATGCAACCATTTCTCCAGGAACATGTATGTCGTTATAACCAGGGCGGTACTATATCCAGGTGTCACAAGATCCCAGGCTTTCTTTACGTAACGGTTGTTGATTGTTTGCAAGTTGTTTGATGCCAATATGATTTATAAAAAGTCCAAGGATTAACTGTTGATCAGCTTGACCAAAGTTATAAAGCCTCACGTAACTACTGAACTGATCAAAACAGACATTTTGAACTGATCAAAACAGTTGATATGCCAAGTGGGCCTTTTGGCATTAAACTTAGCATTATAACCAGAGATATTTAATCTGAATTAATCTGGCAGTGGCATAACCAGTTTGGCGATATATCCAGGGTATTCCATTGGATGGAAATATACTACCCATCAACAGCTTAGACTCACTTAAAGCACTCACTATATGTTATGTATATATGTATGGTTACATCGAAGATGAATTTCTCCACTAACTTGGGGGAACCAACTGAAAACCTTATGCAGATGAATTGCACGAGGATCATGCATCAAATTGCTGTAAAGCATGTGCAAATATCATGCATGTGAACAGCTGCGTTTTGGTGTAAAGTTGTGTTACGAATTCGTCAATTTTCACCGAGTTTCATCGTTTATTGAACTCATGACAATAATCTTTTCAACGTTACAAATGTGTTTTACAATACATCAGTTCAGGTGTAAACAGTACCTTTAAACAGTATGGGAAGTTTTGCAAAATTTATTTTAGAACAGTTGACTTAAGTAAATGGCTACATTTACACTAGTGAGTCTAAACTTTTGATGGGGAGTATATGTTCTTGAAAATTTTATGGTGCACTGTATAACATGCGTGTTGAAGCACCACGTGGCTTCGATTGATAAAAAAATATGGACGTGAGAGAGGGTGGCCCAGCAGGTTCGAATCTCTGTTCTCCCCGACTGTGTTATCTTCATGAAGTAAACATCTAACACCTGCAGGGGCGGTGGGGTAGCCTAATGGTTAAAGCGTTGGCTCGTCACGCCGAATACCCGGGTTCGAATCCCCACGTGGGCACAATGTGTGAAGCCCATTTCTGGTGTCCCCCGCTGTGATGTTGCTGGAATATTGCTAAAAGCGGCGTAAAACCAAACTCAGTCAGTCAGTCTAACACCTGCATCAGCCAAACTCTAGCAGCCAAGCCGTGGTATTGTTCAAAACAGGGTAAAGTTAGCTCATTCATTATGAGTAGTGGGTTCATCAAGAAACGCTGTTGAGTGTCGTAAAAACTGTTCCTATGTCGGCCTGGTTAAAGTAATATACAGTCGTTTTCAGAGATGAGACAATCAACTGATCTGGCTGTCGTCAGCAAACAAGGATTAGTCCCTTCTCTTGTTCATGATGCAGACTGACTAGTATTATAAAGAACAGTTTTCTGCAATATCGTATTTGTTGTTTGATGTGCAAGTGATACATGGGAACTATTCTATATTACTTGTAATACTTGTTTTTTCTAAATTCATTTTTTCCCTGTTTGGTGTGGAGAAACTCTTTCGTCCGAAAAGAATATCCAGATTATCTCATTGGGAACTCTAATACCGCACTCATGATTTGTTAATGTGGAAATCTGTTGATAGGAATATTGAAAGACAGCATTGACCAGGCAAAGTGACCACACCCCATGCGTGTGCAGGTTCGAACCCCGTCTTTTAACTGTAACATTACCGACCTGATCAACACAGTTTTGAAGTGTATCGTGTTTTCTTCCAGTTGTTTCTGCAAGGCTGTCAACAACCTGAACTACGCCGACATAAGGAGCGACTTCGGCTCCATACAGCGGTGTCGAGGCTTCCCGATTTGCGGCTGTCGCAGGTCGGCCATGATGACGTGTGGGACCCAGTGTGACAGGAAGGTGAAGGAGTGGGTGTGTCATCACAACTGTGGGGGGAATCCGGGCGTCAGTGGTGTCCAAGTGCGTGCCTACTTCACAGCTAGCACTTGTCATTCCAATACAGCGCATACAGTATATCAGTGTGGTTCCCAAATGAACTGTGCATTTTGAGACTGGTGGTGGCGAAGTTTGAAATAAAATTAATATTTTATACCCTCTTTTACAGACGTTTTATTTTCTGCATGCTCCATGACGCGTTAGGTGTGTCGATGTCACAATATGAATGTCCTCTGCTGTCTAAATATTGGAATGTTTTGGTCACGAATGAACATGGCCTTTGTCATAAAATGGGCAAATTGCGGATTTGACATTATTAAACGAAATCAGGTTACAGGAAATATTATCTGTAAAATGTTTTTCTAAAGTTGGCACAGTAAAGAAAGAATGGCAATTTTTATGTAGGACCGTTCATTAATTGGGAAACTCTTTTAGTTAAGATTAACAATTCTACAATTTGTTTACCGCATTTAATAGTTTTCAAATTTGATGCATTTACGAGTACAGGGGTAGGTACATGTGTGTTTTCATGCAAATATATTCTCTATTTGGAAGTTTATCACCAGGCATACTGTGGTAATGAATGGAATTGTCTGTCTGTCTGTCTGTCTGTCTGTGTGTGCGTGCGCGTATAAAATGTCCATACTTCCTTGGTGTGTACATGATATATAAAAGAAAATAACAACCATGATGTCAAAATACTCTTAATTATAAGCTTTCTCCCGTCTCCGGAATTTATCAACGCACAACTGTTAAAATGTCACCACAAACGCTCAGTTGACAGCTGATACGTTTCATGACACAACAGACTGACACTCACACACAGCTATGTCAGATGTTACAGAATGTTGTTACAGCATGTTATAGTTTATAACAACAGCTGAGCAGGTAAAGTATACAAACCAATTATCAATTAACTGACACATATTTTATTGACAAAAACGACGTCAAAAGGAATCGTTGAATCTACGAGGCTACACAAAAACGTGTATTTTTCATCAACACGATTAGGAATAGATATTGCTATGCACACTACTACTACTACTACTACTACTACTACTACTACTACGACTACTACGACTACTAAATAATAATAATAATAAACTATCGGCCTGATTATATGTAAAATGCAGATTGAACGACATTTGATTTTATTGTTTCAAGTAAGGGATTGAACATGTAATGACCGGAGACATTTTTTTAGGTATACCGGACCAAAGCCGTTTCTTCTGTTTTTTATAAAACCCGAGGTTAACATAGCCGACCTCAATGATGTGTACACGTTCATTTCTCATACAAACATTTATTTGCAACCCCATCCCTCACCAAAAACGCAGTCTAAGGTATAGGCATTACACTGCAAGTTTCCATGAGAAACAATATCTGGGGATCTGTATGTTTTAGCCGTAGATACAATGTTTCTTTCATTAACAAACGTATAAATTTAGTATTATAGCAATGTTTCGATGTTACCTTAAGCCGCTGTCAAGGAAGGTACCTAATTATACCTATATAGATGAATAATTCTTGTAACGTCATCATTATTGTTGTCAATATGTATTTTGTGCAGGTCACAATACATCCTAAATCACCTAATACCCCTACTTAAAATTGAAGTGATTCTTATTCCGCCAGGCTGAACCTGTGGCTAGTACATTTTGCATTGACAGACATAATGGTTCATAGCAGTAATGTAGGCATCAGGCACACAAGACGTTTCAAAAGGATTCCTTCTGAATTATTCCCGAACGTGTTGCAGCACAAACAACTGATACAATAATTACAGAAGTTCAGCAGTAATATTCACAGTAGAACAGTGTTAATATACTCATGCCAATAATGGTTGTCACCCCCTTCAATTTTTTTTAGGTGTAAGGTGTAAGGTTTGTGTGGGGTTGGGGTGGGAAGGGGGGTTACAACCATTATTGGCATGAGTATATATAATAATCAATAGATTTGTTTACAGTTTTGCATTGGAATGGCATAAAATATGTAATCAATCGTTGAAAGCTGCAGGGTTTTACACAGACTTTTAAAAATGGTAGTCATGGTGACTCACAATATTTCTTTTTGGGACTCATTTTCAATATTTGGGAGTCATGAAAATTTAATGTTTCTTTGTGTTAATCATTCTCAGTATGTAACTGTGTATGTCACAGGTGGAGTCACCAAATGAAACTGCAGCATTGTTCAATGCAAATCGCCAGGATTACTGTCTCCTCTCTGGAACAATCTGACAGCTCTGTAAAAGTCAAACTATCATCGAACAATATCATTTTTTGCTTATCAAATCGATTTTATTGAACTAAATTGTGATGGCCACCCATAAAACTTGCGTCAAGTTTGACTCGTATGATAATGTTTTGAGAGTTGTTTACAAACTTGTTGCGTCAAATACGCAGGAATCATGCGTCATGTAAAACCCTGAAGCTGAATTCAAATATCAGATATATACGCATATTCTAGAAGACATTACTAAATAGTAGCAAAGTTACACGAAGAAATACAACTATTATACTCTGAAAATCGATACCACCTTAGACTATTTACTGAAACACCAAAAACTAATAAATTCACATAATTACCAAAAAGGGCAAAGCCCATCTGTAACAGCATTACATAAACGTTAAGTTCCATGTGGACAGACTGAACGGGTTTCGTAATCGGCTGACAAACTAATAACCCTAGACTAGTTTATAAACGGATAAAAACTACTTATCAACAGGTCTTTAGAAAAGATGTTCAAGGTTGATATACTTTACCAAAGTTCCATAATCACTCTTTGCCATTTATGTTACGGACACACAAATATGTTGTACAGACAAAGTTCTCCTTTAAGCCTGCTATATTTAATTATCTTGGTACCTTTTACGAATGAATGTGTAGATGCTTATACATGAAATGGACATTGGAGATTCTGGAGAGAGATGCATGATACCCCTAAAAAAGGTCATAAATGATATAACATTTGTTGATCAAATACATACGTTTTTGGGAGATGAAAAAATATCACGTTCACATATATACCACGTTTGCCACTGGTTGTGTTGCGACACTCGTTGGTCACGAACACAAAAACTAGTTTTAGAATGGACGTTCCTAAGCACTGGTCGAGATATGTTATGAAACTGAACAGAATGCGCCGAATGTTCAATCGTGGGTTATCTGCCCTTGTTGTTCTTGAAGACCATCAAGAAATCCCAGCACCTCATTGTGGAATTCTTGATAGAAGGGAAACACTGTTGCTGGGGGTTCGTTCCCGACAATATCGTGCTCTACCTTCCCGAGGATACTCTGTAACACTAGAATACAATTATGTTTCATGTTAATGCATGAATATTTGTTGGTCATGACCAATGGAAATATATAGTTTTTCTGTTCTTCTAAACGAGAGGACAGCCTATTGAATACTTCTCAAATGGATTCCTACTCTCTGGTGAGTGGAAATGTTCATGTACCTTATGGAACCCTCCCTAAATTTCCCGAATTTCCTAATTCGTAAACTCCTGGCTACTACTATTTATATTATCTTACCTTCATGTAAAATACTTTAATTTCATTGGTCAGTGACACATTAACAAGTTTCCCCAGGAGGGTGACAACTGGAAAAAATATTACCCGTTGCCACGGTAACCGCCAAACTCTCCGCCGAGAAGCTGTATCGCTAACAATCGTATGTCGCATGCAGTGCCCGAGTTCGAAAACCGTTCGATTAGCTGTTTTTCAATTCACTATGTACACATTTATTTTACCGACTTTCACTGCTTTATTTAAAGTATTTCATACAATGAATCGTTTGCACACTCAACTTAAACATAATTAACCATTTTTAAAGCAGTTTTAAGCTTGTCAGAATATATTTCACTGATTTTAAAAATCCAATCGAGAGTCAGACGCCATTTTGTTTACGTATCATATATACTACCCATCAAAAGTTTAGACTCACTAGTGTAAATGTAGCCACTTACTTGTCCACTGTTCTAAACTAGCTTTTTGCAAAATATTCCATACTGTTTAAAGGTACTGTTTAGTTATGAACTGGTGTATTGTAAAACATATTCGTAACATTGAAAAGATTATTGTCATGAGTTCAGTAAATGATTAAAATCTGTGAAAATTGGCGAATTCTTAACAAAACTTTACACCAAAACGAATCTGTTCACATGCACGACATTTGCTCATGCCTTTCGCAATTTGAAGCATCATCCTTGTGCAATTCATCTGCATCAGGTTTTCAGTTGGTTCCACCAAGTTGGTGGAGAAATTCATCTTCGATTTAACCACATACATATACATAACATATAGTGAGTGCTTTCAGTGAGTCTAAACTTTCGATGGGTAGTATAGTTGGAAGCGATATTCAAAATAAAATAAAATTATATTTTGCACATTTAACATGGCGATAAGATAAATACGTTGTATGCTTCTCCCTCGGGAGACAACTTATAGAGCATCTCAACTTGTATTCATGAGATCGCTGGTGTTAGAATACAGACTTGACAAAAACATTCTTACCATCACTCTCATTGATCAGTACTGTTGCTGCATGACATGTTGTATAGATCTTGCACTGTTCAACCACACCGTGTCTTCCTCCCGACTCGCTGCTCTCAAAATACGACCTGAGTTCCTCCTCCGTGACGTGCTCTGGCAGCTCCTTCACAACCAAGCCGACCGGCGCTCCAACCTCGACAAGGTCTACTTGATGACCGTCCAGTTTACGCCTCGAAGCCTTGGCGTGACTCTTGCTGACATCTGACGACATTGCTGACCAGATGTATTGTTTACAACAACATGGCCCAAACGTATAAAATAATATGTTAAAAATTAAACGATTAAAGATATAAACAAAGATACGTCATGAGAGGAGGATGGAAAACATAGGAAAGTATATCTATGGTTCAGAAAACATGTATAAGCTTATAGGGTGGTTCACGGAAAGCAGACATGGTTAATGGGACGGGCAAGGAAAACAGAAAATAATTTTATAGGAAGGGTACGGGAAAACAGTGACAATTTTATAGGAGGAATACTGGAAAACATAGACAATTTTCTTGGGAAGGTACGGGAAGACAGACAATTTTATAGGAGGAGTACTGAAGAACATAGACAATTTTCTTGGGAAGGTTCGGGAAGACAGACAATTTTATAATGAGGGTCATTGAAAACATAGACAGGTTTACAGACACAGTCATGGGAAACACAGACCTCGAGAAAAACATGTATATGCTTATAAGGAGGTTCGCAGAAAACAGACAAGCTAAATGGAGGGGTCAAGGAAATTATAGACAGGCTTATAGGGAGGGTCACGGGAAATACAGACAGGTTTATAGGGAGGGTCAAGGGAAATATAGACAGGTTTATAGGGAGGGTCAAGGGAAATATACACAGGTTTATAGGGAGGGTCACGGGAAATACAGACAGGTTTATTGGGAGGGTTAAGGGAAATATAGACAGGTTTATAGGGGGCAAGGAAATATAGACAGGTTTATAGGGAGGGTCAAGGGAAATATAGACAGGTTTATAGGGAGGGTTAAGGAAAATATAGACAGGTTTATAGGGAGGGTCATGGATAATATAGACAGGTTTATAGGGAGGGTCATGGATAATATAGACAGGTTTATAGGAAGGTCAATGGAAATATAGACAGGTTTATAGGGAGGGTCATGGATAATTTAGACAGGTTTATAGGGAGGGTCATGGATAATATAGACAGGTTTATAGGGAGGGTCATGGATAATATAGACAGGTTTATAGCAGGGCCATGGATAATATAGACAGGTTTATAGGAGGGTCATGGATAATATAGACAGGTTTATAGGAGGGTCATGGATAATATAGACAGGTTTATAGGGAGGGTCATGGATAATATAGACAGGTTTATAGGAAGGTCAATGGAAATATAGACAGGTTTATAGGGAGGGTCATGGATAATATAGACAGGTTTATAGGGAGGGTCATGGATAATATAGACAGGTTTATAGGGAGGGTCATGGATAATATAGACAGGTTTATAGGGAGGGTCAAGGAAAACATAGACAGGTTTATAGGGAGGGTCATGGATAATGTAGACAGATTTATAGGGAGGGCCAAGGAAAACATGGACAAGGTTATAGTGATGGACATAGTAAACGTAGACAGGTTTATAGGGACAGTCTTGGAAAACACAGACCTCAAGAAACCTTGTAAAATTGACATAGTGTTTACGATTTACCTGCTATTTCGTCTTCCATTGTAACAAGGGCAATGTGATTGATTCTGTCATCAAAATAGTCGATCGTTTCCACTCCATTGTCACATATGACCTCCAGGAAGTTGATGAGAGTGTCTTCTGCACAGTCTGGCAGATTCTGTGACGAGATCAGGCTAGATTGATACCTTGCGTGTGTCAACATGACCATCTACTAATATATCACGCTGAGGTTAAGTAAACTGGTTTCATTCACGGCTGATTCAAATGGTTGAAACATCATTCCAATCTAATGTGAGAGGGAATCCCACAGCGATACATGTCTGATGACTACTTTTGGAATTGCTTTTGGATCCATGTACTATTAAGGGAAGCAACCGTGCACAACGAAATCAGCACCGTTGATGACTGGGCCTTCATTACATCCAGTCACAGGCTTGATTCTTGCAAACAATGTTGCTTGCCATAACCACAAAGACGGTTTGTTACGTACACTATAAAAGCAGAACGACCTTAGAAATGGCCATCCCAGTGACCTGGGCCTTCACTAAAGGTCACCGAAACCTTAACACTTCAAGGCCTCATCCTAAGGACAGTACTTACAATATTGCATCCGACTTCAGGAAGCAGTTATTGGGTCCTCATTAAAAACACATTCTAACCTACGACTTGCAGAGTAAGTTTAACCTTTAATGTCACAAACATCTCAAGAAAAAAACAAGGGTTGTGGCATACACACCATGTGATGTCCTCATAAACCATATTAATATATATCATGTGCTACATATTAAAAGTAGGTCACCGTGACCTACCTCTTGTGGCATAAGACTGACATAAATTGTCATATTTACTTTCACAGACTATATAACCAATACAAGAAAGTTATCTGCAGAAAAAAATGCGTTCGCGATAATTTAAGAAAGAACGACCATTTCGAACCATTCAAAGGATAGTCGTTATGTCCTGTTATCGACGTCAACGGAAGCGAGGCTGTTTGCAGCGAATAGCGCCTGCACAACGAATAAATCATAAAAGAAGAAACTGACGCAGTTTTACTTTCGTTTTATACCTAGGCCAGTGGGCTGTATTATTCAGTATGGATATGGGCCCATGGCCTATGGCTGATATACATACTGAATAACGACCCAACCACATTCATTGGAGGCGAGTTAACACGTATGAACTTGTTGGTGATCATGTCAGTAATCTTCGTCAAGGGTAGACAAACCTCCATTACTACAACACTGAAAAATACTTAACGGGGAGAACTCAAGTCAAATCGAAATACGATCTCGTTAATTCGTATCAGGCTTTTTCCCTGTATCGTTAATGTTGTATATCATTATATATCACTATACACAATAACTGTTACATAGGACTCCATTACCATCCTCGTTATATATGCGCTCTGTTACAATGTTAAAATGGGAATTATAGCTACTGATCATATGAATGAATAGGCGCACGACCAAAGAAGAACTCCTCACTTTAGCAACTAGCATTCTCTTCTCCATCATCAACACGCTCTTCCTCTTGTGGAGATGGCGGGTATCTGTACCGGAGACTGACACCTTAACCAAGCGCTTGTTTGTCAGTCCAGAATGAGTTTTCGTGTTGAAATGTGTGTGTTAGTTTCGTTTTCAAACGGGAGTCACGTGATTTCTTTTAATGCACACGATCGAACCTCAGCATGTGACGTCCTATACAAGTATAACGGAATGGAATGTCAGCTGTTGTGCATGAATTCAGTTACGAGGTCGCTGTTTTAGCATCTGTCCAGCCATTCAGGAGGCGGACACCATGGAGGGGCATCCTACTATAGTGCGTTTGGCTCAAAAGCGGACCGATGAATTGCAATCTAACTCGAAAACTAATAAACATATAATACTCAATGAAACGCTGATCATAATCAAAACATCACACCAACTCTGTGATTTGTTTGCAGAATTTATGTCCCAAAAATTAAAAAGTTGTTTAACAAACTATCATTAAAATATTGACACAGTTCACTATTTGTTACGAGGGAGGAGTGCAGAGAAAGGGACAGCCAGGTGATAGAGGAGCACGTGCACAAGTGCCGACAAGTTATTGATTCATTAACCTGTGCTGTCCCTTTCTCTGCACTCCTTCCTCGTAACAAATAGTGAACTGTGTCAATATTTAATGATAGTTTGTTAAACAACTTTTTTAATTGTAGGACATAAATTCTGCAAAACCCTCACAAGGTTGGTCTGACGTTTTCATTATGATCAGCGTTTCATTGAGTATTATATGTTTATTACTTTTCGAGTTAGATTGCAATTCATCGGTCCGCTTTTGAGCCAAACGCACTATAGGTACCTGTGTGGGAAATCGAATCTGTACAGCGAGTCCTTACAGGACGTGCAGACTTTCAGTGCGAGTTTAGTTTTACGCCGCACTCAGCAATATTCCAGCTATATGACGTCAGTCTGTAAATAATCGAGTCTGGACCAGACAATCCAGTGATCAACAGCATGAGCATCGATTTGTCTTTTATATTAACGCAAAATAAAGAGGCGTTGATGCTTCCTTTGAACGGGAGACCACTGTCCGCATAGCGGCCAGTCGTCACCCTGTCAAACACAATCAGGTTTTATGCCGATTTTAGCTATATTCCAAGAATATATTGCTAGCGGTTAACTTCCAATATGGACTTCACACATTGTATCATCGAATCAAACCCGGGTTTTCGACCTTAGGAGAGAAAGTTTCAACCACAAGGCTACCCCAACACCCGCCCTAACAAGTTGCAGATCGAGCAGGTGATTTTACAATAAGCTGGTCATACGTGGTTTACTGGCATTGTGACAGTACGGCTCTTCAACATGTCTTCACCCAATATTGTGTTTAACATGCTTTTCATTTAGTCATCCTGAGCAAAATTTCCTTAGAATGTTAACCACAAAATTACTTTCTTACTAATTTTGGGCGGCTGCCACAGCCATCCCAGCACCCTCAAAAATACACATTTACACATGTCGGGAAGTTGGAAAACAAAACACGACCAATCGATATGAAAGGAATACCGTCTTGTGTACAGATTGAGGTCGCCAGCTGAAGCTGAACTGTGTAATGTATGCACAGAGAAGTGTGAATGTCGTCTTAGCAAGGTCAGGGCTCCAGATAATTTTTCAACATCAGGAGTACGTACTCCTTATTTTTTTAAATATAGGAGTACTGGAAAAACTTAAGAGTACATTTCGAGTACTGAATGGATTTTAATGGCGTATGTGATCTTGTGTTTCGTTTCATATATGCACCACAGCATTGCTACTCTTTTGTAAACAGGTAAAAAACAATAAAACAATACTTTTTTCAGATAAATACGTCTGTAAATGATTCTAAGACCGTACACCATTGCTGTGCTGCGTATCTGCTACTGTTTCTAAATTATATCCTACCGTATCGTGCATATTTTTTATCCGTACATACGCCCCTTATCTGGAGCCCTGCAAGGTATTTTAAGAGGGAAAATTGGGGTCTTATTTTTTCTCTTAGTTAAACCATAACAAACATTTTGAAAGATATCAAACGACCACGTGTTATAAAACCCCAATATGTTTGTAAACATAGTGGTGAAGTCATTTGTAGTTGTCAACCGCTATCAGTTCCAAGGAACAAATATTTCCTGTGTAAACCTATCATTTAGTAAGACTTCCTACAGAAAACCCCTGCATGGGATCATACACTTGTATCTTAATTTGTGGAGAAGTGACTATTGCACGGTTTCAAACTGACAAGCTCACTGTCGAGCAAGAAATCCAATACTCCCTCAAAAACACACATCCTCTCAATTTCCACTAAAAACGATAAAGAGACAGTTCATAAATAAGGCAAACATATTTAATAGAGTTTAAATTTGATTTACAGGAAGTATATGAAATATTCCCCACATGTACATGTGTTGCTACGAAGATGAATCTGTGTGGGTATACTTTTCATAGAATATCTACAACATTTACAGATGTATGTACAGCTTCCTGAACTGTGTACAGGTATCAGGCCTCTTCTCATGAGTGTTTCTTTCCTGTTGAATCCGATCAGTTCTCCATAAAGTAGGAAAAAGTTTGTAAGGGTTGTAAAACTTTACAACAGGCATTTCACAACATACATACCCAAAACACCTTTTCAGCTAATGGGACCCCATGACTTTATGATGAACGGATTCTCGACAACACATTTCCATACCTGGGCCTCCTTTCACAAAACGCTAAAGTGATCTTAGTCACTAAGGTAACCTTAGTGCAATGTTAAACAATGGGAGTTAAGGTTAACCTTAGTAAACATTACTTCGTGTAAGGAGCCCCTGGTCAATATTTCATGAAGCCAAAGTTTTGTTTCATTAGACAAACAATCAACATCAAAGATTCTCCAAAGCTTCAGGAATAACTTAGTTATGGTCACATATTGAAAGAAAAAAAACGGAGTACAAGTGTTTCCCCAAAACCTCAACAAAGAATATACAATCAGCACTGTATTTGGGGGGGATCTTCAAGGTCGGAGCCATGAAGCATAACTACTTCACCAACTACGTACATTTCATAGTTCAAACCATCAGTCCGCATCCTATCCAATGTCACTTTACAGGAACCTTCAGGTTCATTGCAATGCTTCAAACAGTCAAATAAAGAGAAATACAAAGGTTCAATTTTCCTTGCAATGCTAGAAAATTCCATCCGATAGCTATGATGAAGACAACATGATCTGGGTTCTGCCACAGGACAGACTCTTCTTATATAAGGAAGACAACATTGTCTGACAAAATGATCTGGGTTCTGCCAGTGGACAGACTCTTCTTATATAAGGAAGACAACATTGTCCGACAACATGATCTGGGTTCTGCCAGAGGACAGACTCTTCTTATATAAGGAAGACAAAATGATCTGGGTTCTGCCACAGGACAGATTCTTCTTATATAAGGAAGACAACATTGTCCGACAACATGATCTGGGTTCTGCCACAGGACAGACTCTTCTTATATAAGGAAGACAACATTGTCTGACAACATGATCTGGGTTCTGCCACAGGACAGACTCTTCTTATATAAGGAAGACAACATTGTCTGACAACATGATCTGGGTTCTGCCACAGGAAAGAATCTTCTTATATAAGGAAGACAACATTGTCCGACAACATGATCTGGTTCATGTCCATCATCTGGTCAATGGCCTGCATGATTTCCTCTTGAGTGAACTCTGAGCCGACTTGTTGCTTATTCACGAACGCCCGGATCTTGTCCAGTTCCACTGATTGAGCATGTTCAGTCTTGAACAGGTTGAACAAGGAGCTCCTGAAGGCCTTCAGTCTGTGGGAAGAAAATAAATGGATTACCAGGCTGATCACGAAATACCTATCTGCCTCTGGGAAATGGTGGGCAAATAACTTTAAATGCTGTTATAAAACATCTATCAATGGTCATGTAGCGTGATAATGTCAGATGGAAGAATTCTAACATCACGAGTTTGTAAACCTTTAAATATACAGTGATGCAGATGGCCATATTTACTGAGGCAGACGTAAAAGATGGGGCAGATCGGTATGGAGAGGACACATCAGGATCATCGTGAGCAAAACTGAGAAAAAAATCCCATGATCAATTTTTCAGATTGCCTTTGAATCCCTAACCAAGAAAACATATCTGAATACTTAACCTATCTATTGGTTTTTGTAGGTTTACTTCTATTAAATACAACAGATATCTTACAGACTTCCTTGAGGGTGAGGGGGCAGCGAGAGTTACTCACCTGTCATCGGACAGTTTATCAGTCTGTGAAGACTCCTCAGCTTCCATGGCCGATTCTGATCTCCGTGGTAATCGCCTCTTCTTTTTCTCCGTGCCCTCTGTTGCTTCATCTGAAAATAGTTACAATATTTTTATACAACCCTTTCCAACCACAATCTGCCTTAACACATCACTCAGTTTAAAGTCACAGCATGATTTCAGCAAGTGTGCATCTTGAAAGGTGACATCAGATTCCTCATTTCTCTTGACATCTCTCAACACAGAAAGTCAATGCAAACACCATGTTTATCAGTACTTGAGTCATATCATGTAAGCTATATGTTTGGTGAAAGCTTAACATTTCCCATTGGGTGATGGCCATTAACACTGGTGTGGGGCTGACACACAAACAATTGGCCACACGCCCAGAATACTTACCCTCAGCCTGACTGTCCTCATCCCCAGAGAAGTCATATGGGTCATAGCCATCTTCTCCTTCCTTCTTTGAGGGCCGACGCTCTCGCACTTCCTTACGCCTGAAACACAAGAAATCAATGTTAATAATTCATACATTCAGCTTCCAAGCAAGACATCAAATCAGCACATTTTACTTCGCAAATTACCAATTCAATACCATACTGTATAAGTTTTCCTCCATGACTACCAGCTTCCTCTGTGAGGAATCTTGTTTTAATCCACTCATATATTGTGGCAATAACCACTATTATTACCCACGAGGTCAACGTATTGGTAGTTGCATACTAATCTCGTACGTCACACGAGTGTCGTATCGCGTTGACCTGTGTCGTAACGACTTGACCTGAGATTCTAACGATTTGATTGGATAACCGATGACCTCTCAATTAGGTCACATTCTGACGTAAGTATTTTTTCATTCATAACAAACACGTGAATTCATTCATTCTACAACTTAAATGCATTGTGGGAATGTAAACACTGTGAACGTTGCTGTGTCGCTGTTCAGATACCATAGGAAGGACACTCGTTTCGTATAATTCGTATGTAATGAGACCTCGTGTAGTATTCTCTATATATCCAGCAAATAGTCAAATGGGCCATGCGAGCCAGAGTCTGAGAGGATCATGACAATCAGCTCCAGAGATATTTTAACCAACTGACCTGAACTGCATCAAACACTGGATATAACCATGTGATGGCTGGTAACTACTTTGTGTCTTTATGCAACAGGACAACTTATTACACGATGTCCTATTCTCAATTAAAACCTTTGCCATAACCAACTGAAATTACTATTTCATGCATTTGACCATCTGAAAACATCAAATTTCTTTGTATCAAAGTATTTTTCTTACTTCTTCTTCTTGGGTTTCTCTTCTTCCTCTCCTTCCTCTTGGCTACTTTCCTCAGTCTCATCATCATCATGCTTCCTCCTCCGACTCTTCTCCTTCTCCAGAACCTGTCACAGATCAAGCAATTCAATAAAACCAAAATCAAATGAATCTACTGGTATTATTTTCAAGCTCTCTACAAGAATAATCAATATCTTGCATAAATTTCAGTCATTGTATTGAATTTCTATCAAGTCGGAAATTCAGAGAATTTCAACTTGGACTAGTTCATCATAAGATGAACATAGAGTTTAGCATGTAGGTTCTGTTAAAAAGTGCAAAAAGCGCCATTAAAAGTGATTTGCTTTCTTTTTCATTGGTGATTAAATCAAGTATCCGATACCTTCTTGAAATAGGCAAACTGTATGAGTTCCACAGCAGCTTGAGCATCTTGGAGTTCGACTGTCTTGGACAGTCTGGACTTGGCATGGGCTGTGGAGATACGGATCATCGTTTCCAACGCTCTGGCAGTCACTGGCTGAGTCTATACAGACAAAAACATCAATATTTCAATTCACTGATTGCAATATTTCACCTTTGTATATAGTAGTAAGCATATTCTCATCAGCATAGAACATCAGGTTCTACAAATCACATGTGTAAGTAAGAATGCTTAACAGCTGTAAACACAAAACTTAATTCTCAGCTAGGACAATGTTAAGTAATTCATTAACTTTGTTGACAACCTTTGTAGAACTGTGTTCCTTCTGGAGGATCCCAGTGTTGCTGGGACCCCAGCTACCTTTGCTTGTTGTACAGTAAATGTACCTGGTCGTCGGGCTTGTTGTATTGTAAATGAATCTTGTCATTATGCTTGTAGTACGGTAAATGTACCTGGTCGTCGGGCTTGTTGTATAGTAAATGAATCTTGTCATTATGCTTGTAGTACGGTAAATGTACCTGGTCGTCGGGCTTGTTGTATAGTAAATGAATCTTGTCATTATGCTTGTAGTATGGTAAATGTACCTGGTTGTTGTGCTTGTAGTACATACAGTAAATGAATCTGGTCATTATGCTTGTAGTACGGTAAATGAATCTGGTCATAATGCTTGTAGTACAGTAAATGAATCTGGACATTATGCTTGTAGTATGGTAAATGAATCTGGTCATTAGGCTTGTAGTACAGTAAATGAATCTGGTCATTATGCTTGTACAGTAAATGAATCTTGTCATTATGCTTGTAGTACGGTAAATGAATCTTGTCATTATGCTTGTAGTATGGTAAATGAATCTTGTCATTATGCTTGTAGTATGGTAAATGAATCTTGTCATTATGCTTGTAGTACGGTAAATGAATCTGGTCATTATGCTTGTAGTACGGTAAATGAATCTGGTCATTATGCTTGTAGTATGCTTGTAGTACAGTAAATGAATCTGGATATTATGCTTGTAGTACAGTAAATGAATCTGGTCATTATGCTTGTAGTACGGTAAATGAATCTGGTCATTATGCTTGTAGTACGGTAAAAGTATCTGGTCAATAGGGTTGTAGTACGGTAAATGAATCTGGACATTATGCTTGTACAGTAAATGAATCTTGTCATTATGCTTGTAGTACGGTAAATGAATCTGGTCATTATGCTTGTAGTACAGTAAATGAATCTGGTCATTATGCTTGTAGTATGCTTGTAGTACAGTAAATGAATCTGGATATTATGCTTGTAGTACGGTAAATGTACCTTGTCGTTGTGCTTGTACGGTAAATGAATCTGGTCATTATGCTTGTACGGTAAATGAATCTGGTCATTATGCTTCTAGTACGGTAAATGTATCTGGTCATTATGCTTGTAGTACGGTAAATGAATCTGGTCATTATGCTTGTAGTACAGTAAATGAATCTGGTCATTATGCTTGTAGTACAGTAAATGTATCTGGTCATTATGCTTGTAGTACGGTAAATGAATCTGGTCATTATGCTTGTAGTACGGTAAACGTATCTGGTCGATAGGGTTGTAGTACGGTAAATGAATCTGGTCATTATGCTTGTAGTACAGTAAATGTATCTGGTCATTATGCTTGTAGTACGGTAAATGAATCTGGTCATTATGCTTGTAGTACAGTAAATGAATCTGGTCATTATGCTTGTAGTATGCTTGTAGTACAGTAAATGAATCTGGATATTATGCTTGTAGTACGGTAAATGTACCGTGTCGTTGTGCTTGTAGTACGGTAAATGTATCTGGTCATGGCTTGTAGTACGGTAAATGAATCTGGACATTATGCTTGTAGTACGGTAAATGAATCTGGTCATTATGCTTGTAGTACGGTAAATGAATCTGGTCATTATGCTTGTAGTACAGTAAATGAATCTGGTCATTATGCTTGTAGTACAGTAAATGTATCTGGTCATTATGCTTGTAGTACGGTAAATGAATCTGGTCATTATGCTTGTAGTACGGTAAACGTATCTGGTCGATAGGGTTGTAGTACGGTAAATGAATCTGGTCATTATGCTTGTAGTACAGTAAATGTATCTGGTCATTATGCTTGTAGTACGGTAAATGAATCTGGTCATTATGCTTGTAGTACAGTAAATGAATCTGGTCATTATGCTTGTAGTATGCTTGTAGTACAGTAAATGAATCTGGATATTATGCTTGTAGTACGGTAAATGAATCTGGTCATTATGCTTGTAGTACGGTAAATGAATCTGGTCATTATGCTTGTAGTACGGTAAACGTATCTGGTCGATAGGGTTGTAGTACGGTAAATGAATCTTCTCATTATGCTTGTAGTACAGTAAATGTATCTGGTCATTATGCTTGTAGTACGGTAAATGAATCTGGTCATTATGCTTGTAGTACGGTAAATGTATCTGGTCATTAGGGTTGTAGTACGGTAAATGAATCTGGTCATTATGCTTGTAGTACAGTAAATGAATCTGGTCATTAGGGTTGTAGTACGGTAAATGAATCTTGTCATTATGCTTGTAGTACGGTAAATGAATCTGGTCATTATGCTTGTAGTACAGTAAATGAATCTGGTCATTATGCTTGTAGTACAGTAAATGAATCTGGTCATTAGGGTTGTAGTACGATAAATGTATCTGGTCGGTAGGGTTGTAGTTGTATACGGTAAATGAATCTGGTCATTATGCTTGTAGTATGGTAAATGTATCTGGTCATTAGGGTTGTAGTACGGTAAATGTATCTGGTCGGTAGGGTTGTAGTACGGTAAATGAATCTGGTCATTATGCTTGTAGTACGGTAAATGAATCTTGTCATTATGCTTGTAGTACGGTAAATGTATCTGGTCATTAGGGTTGTAGTACGGTAAATGTATCTGGTCGGTAGGGTTGTAGTACGGTAAATGAATCTGGTCATTAGGGTTGTAGTACGGTAAATGTATCTGGTCGGTAGGGTTGTAGTACGGTAGATGTATCTGGTCGGTAGGGTTGTAGTACGGTAAATGAATCTGGTCATTATGCTTGTAGTACGGTAAATGAATCTTGTCATTATGCTTGTAGTACGGTAAATGTATCTGGTCATTAGGGTTGTAGTACGGTAAATGTATCTGGTCGGTAGGGTTGTAGTACGGTAAATGAATCTGGTCATTATGCTTGTAGTATGGTAAATGAATCTGGTCATTATGATTGCCGTCTTGATTCCATGTCATCTTACACATATGGAATGATCATTATATCGACCACTGGTTTCACAGATTTTCTACCACCTACCCGTGCTACGTTGCTCTGCTGGAGGTTGTCTTGACTTCTCAGCTTGGCGTACTCCTCGGCGATGTAGTCGGAAGCCTCCCTCGTCAGACTGGGCTTCAAGGCCTTGGCAACATGGATGTACTTCCTCATAAATTCCATACTCAGAATCTTGTCTCTGAAAGCAGATTTTGTCTATCACAAAACTAAACACCAACTTGAATGCGGTGTGGTGGTGGTGGTGGTGGTGATGTGGTGTGGTGTGGTGTGGTGTGGTGTGGTGTGGTGTGGTGTGGTGTGGTGTGGTGTGGTGTGGTGTGGTGTGGGAGTTGAAAGAATTCATAAGCACAAACTGTTTCTGAGGAAAAACAAGATATGAGGAGAAAAATTAACTGAGAAATATGAAAAGAAAATAGTTGAGCAGGATTTAAATACACATGTAAAGTTTCTTGCGTAAATATAAATTATTTTCAGAATTGTGGCATGGTAATATAGAACAAGATACAAGGTCCAAATTGTTTCCATGGAAATGTAACTAATTACAATTTATTTTCTTAGAAATACACAACACAGTCTTCAAGTTACTGAAGCCAAAGGGGCTAGAGCCAAATGGGACACTGCCAAACAGGGAAATGGAGACAAAATCAGATGCGACTGACAATCTTAATTTTCATGTAGTTCATTTCAGTATGAGATCGAAGCAATAGATCGTACATATACGATGCCATCAAAGTGCAGATGCTCAGGATTTGCTACATACTTAATACCACGAGCTATGAAAAAGAACATCTTTCTCCTATCTGTAACATAAGTATTCCACTGAGGACAAAGATAACAAAAAAAAATCAATTTTGTACATACTTTTTGCTCCTGGAATTGCCATGCAGCAAGACATCATACTTCTCGTACATGGGCGTCTCCTCTGACTGATCCCGATCAGCTTCCGGGTCTTGTGTAGCCAACATGTCCACTGAGCTTCCCATGGTCAAAACTGAAGGAGAACAGATTTCAATAATCAGTGTTCATAAAACTGTTTCTGTAACTAATTGGAATGTTCGAATCAAACTAAACTGAACACTAAAATGAGAGGTTTTGTTAACATTTTCGGGGATAGTTCTTTAAGTGCAGACAGTTTTACGGATATGGTATATATATATATTAAAAAAATTCTTATTTTGTTTGTACAGTATACAAAGGAATCCAGTGCTAGCTTACCGTCTCCATCCTGCTCATTGCCAGCTCGGTACCTGTGCATTCTCAGAACGTGGTCCGATATATGGCGATCACTGTCAGGGTCCATCTGAAACAGTTTTGGAAATAAGTAATGTCTTCCTGCAAACATTCAATATTACTGGCTCTAAAGCAACATTTTGCTTGTGACATTTTCACATATAGAAATACAACACATGATAAATGTTGAATTTAACTGAAAATATGTTCTGATTAGCTAAAGCCAGGATCTAGACAAGTATTGAAAATATTTTAGGTTAGTGTGAGGAAATGTTGAAAAAATGCCACCTTTAATTCTGTCAGGACAAGTGCAACATTCCAGAGCATAATACAGAACATTTCAGACTTATCACACTGAGAAAAAGTTTAAAAAGATAAGATAAATAAGACTTTACAAAATTCACCCAACCATCTTTGTACTCACCTTGTCAAGGACAATGAAGAGAAGATCAAATCGAGACAAAAGAGAATCCTGCAGTCCTATATTCTCCATAGGAGTCTTGTACTGGTCGTACTAAATATAAGATGAAAAGTTATTATGGTTTTGTACTGCCAACACAATCCAGGGATGATGTGACTTGGGTTCAACTCTGCATCAGTATATTCCAGTTATATCATGGTTTGTCACAATAATGTGGGTGGCAAGTCCAAAGTGACGCAGGTCTAACAGATTTACTATGTTGCTGAAACCGAGCAAGGGTATAGTGTTGATAAACCTAGAAACGTAACTGAAGGAAATAGAATCCACATGCATACGTTTTCTGGTATGCGCCCAATTGGGGAGCCCACATGATACACATAAAAAGGAAATATTACACATGAATCAATTAAATCCATTATGCTGAAGGCAATTATTCTCACCCTTCCATAGACAGGATTGGCAGCAGCCAGCACACTGCACCTTGCATTCAGTTTGGCATGAATTCCAGCCTTTGAGATTGTCACACGGCCCTGTTCCATCACCTCATGTATCGCTGTTCTGTCAATGTCAGACATCTTGTCGAACTCATCAATGCAAACAATGCCACGATCAGCTAGCACCATAGCACCAGCTTCAAGACGTCTCTCCCCTGAAAACAAATACACAATATTTAATTTTTTAATCTCCAATTTATGTCAAAATATTTCAAAATCAAATTTGAACATTTGACTTGTTAATGCAACATGCCATTGTTCCAGCAGTCTGAGCCAGGCAATCTAGTGATCGATATCAAGAGCACTCACTCGCACACTAGGATACGATAATATGCAATCATCAAGTATTAGTGATCTTTTACAACACGTGTGGCACGTGGTCCTGTGCATAGCGCTCAGGTCACAAATCAGTTGAAGTTGAGCAACATTGGGCTCCGACAATCCTTGGATGGGTGACCGTGTTGGCAGCTTAACTCCTGAGTTTCTAGGACTTCAGTCCTGCCCAACAACGAAGCACATGTGACACATGTGGTCTCACCTTAGGCAAGTGAGATGACCATAGAGAGAAAACGAGTTTGCAATTACTGTGAAGGAAAATCAAATTAAATGTCAAACAATTTTGGGTGAAAGGGACATTTGGATGGTTGACCGTTTGTGACAGCTTGAGCCCTAATAGTTTCTGGGACTTCAGTCCTGCCCCACAATGAAGCACATGTGATACATGTGGTCTCACCTCAGGCAAGTGAGTTTGTTCAAAATTGCCTCTGTTCACCGAGCAGGAAATGGGTACCCGGTGAAATAAGTCGTGAGACTATTACCCTTCTAGCGCCTAACAGGCAGCTTGGCTTATCCGGGGTAATAATGATCAGTTTGCGCGCTTTGAGCAGGATATCTAGCCTGGAAATGACTTGTTATAAATATTCGCATTATTATTATTATTATGTGTAGGCTGCTGAAGTCCTATGTTCTTTGGCAACATCTACACTGGTCAAACAGTAACATGATTTTGATTGACATGAGGAGTAAACAAGTGAAATATCCTACCTGTTTCTTGGTCTGATGTCACCGCTGCAGTGAGACCAACTCCAGATGACCCTCGGCCTGTGGTAGGAATTGCTCTTGGAGCAGTGTTTAGCACATACCTGCAACAGTCACACATCACTTAGCACCTCAATGGGACTGGCCACACCATGGGGAAAGCCTGGAAAGTTTTCATCTTTTTTCTTCAAGTAATGATATCTACCTTAAATCATTTCATATAACTATACTACAGCCAAGATACAAGATGGATCGTAAGATACAATTTGACTTATTTTGGGTGTGAAGCTGTCCATTAACCATGACTTGCCGACCACAAGGTTAATATGATTAATTTGTTTGTGTTAAGTTTGGAAATGTGACTTTCTGAACCATAACAAAATGAAAATAGGAATAAATGTTTTGGTAAACACATCTCAAAGTGTAAATTTGCAATGCAAAGGTTAATCTCCTCAAAAAGTTTTCTGTCCATAAACTCCAACTATTCTCAACGACATGCCAATGTTTCGTCTTTCAGTCAGGGATGCGACAATTCAGCATGATTATATATACCTCTGCTATGGCTGCAATATTATTCACATCCCAGTCCAGTGCTCTTAGATACTCTTTCTTTTGGAAGATGAACCACAACCCTCAATCTCTTGGGGTTTTTTTTATTTCAGAGATCAAGATGGAATACTGTTGGACAGTTGTAAATCAATGAATACATGCAACGTTAAAAAGATAACTGTCAGATACAATAACACCCACTTAAATAATCTACAACAAATATACTAAGTAGGTGTTTCAGTTGTCAAGATACAAATCCCTGGCGTGTGTTAGCATTTCAAAGAAGATGACCAGCTAGCTTACCTCAGCATCTGTGACTTGGCCACTGATGGATCTCCAATCAGCAACACATTGATGTCTCTGCAAATGATCAAACATTAACATTTAAAGTAAACATTTTGAAAGATTCGACTCGAACCTCTTACATTAAAGCAAAGACCAATTTTAACCTTTATGTTCATGGGTCATTTGAAGCTTGGTTTTAATCCCTTACAGCACTGAATGAAATTCCTCAGAATTTAGGAAAACATAAGCTGACTCTCATGACGGGCATGGGAAGCTTACTCTGCCCCAGAATAACAAGTGCCAAAGGTTTAAGACTAACCAGCAAACAGACAAGTGTCTGGCAAACAAGTCCTCTCTGATGATGATGATGATGACTGACTGACTGACAATAATGTTAACAATAATGCACACCTCAGACAAGAACAGATACAGATATTAGGAACATTTTAATGTGAGACATCTTCTTACCCTCTGAGCCGAGTTCCATTAGCTAGAACCTTCTCATTCCCCCCCAGCAGCATACAGAGGACAGCCTTCTTAATGTACGGATGGCCACAAATAGATGGTGCCACTGACTTGCTGAGTGCCTCAAACACATCCTGTAGTGAGAGAAATGTCACATCAGCTGATACTTAACAGAAAATTGGTACAGGTTATAAAGGCCAAAAGGAAAGACTAATCTGTCGCATCAGTTAACAGGGGTGGAAATAACCCATTGCCCGACGTCCGAGTCCAGTGTTTTTTTCTGTCGGGCAAGCAAATTTGTATATCACACTGTACCGGTGTTCAGTCGACTTTCCAATGTTAATTATGTTGTTTATTTAATAAATCAACAAGAAAACGGAGGGTACAGTGGAAAAATTATCAGGGCAAGTGATTTTACATGTGCCACTGTACCAGAGTACACTAGCAATCTTAAAGTTATTTCCATCCCTGGTTAATAATACAGAGTAGAGAATAAGTAAACATTTCAGAATGCCAACTATAGGGACTAATCTATAAATCTGAATGTGACTTAGGGACCGGTCATTTATGGGGAACGGGAGAAGTTGTACAACATTCAATACAGTTCTTAGACCAATTCCACCATTAACATACACACGGCCATACAAAGTAACTAATCCCTTAGCGATGCTACATTTGTATCACTATCACTTGTCTTTCTACAAATTCCATGGTAATCGTTGACCAAGCTTTCACTGCTGAATATTGGTTATGTGGGGACCTAAATATTGCTTGTAGCCTGGTAAAAATCAAAACCACTAGTCTATAAAACACATCCAGACAAGCTGGATATGAGAAGGGAGTACAGTACTGTACCCATTCTGGCTCTTTGAATTTCATTAAGTGGAGCTTACCATGTTCTTGGCTTTTCCAAACTTCTTTATTTTGGCAACATCATCAGCCGAGAACATGGGAGACACTTCCTTACTCAGCAGCTGGACGTTGTTGCCGATGAGGATTGTGCGGAACGTGCCAGTGGTGTAGCCATTCTTTTTTCCTGGCAGACACCGGAACGTACCAATGACCTGGACTCTGTCTCCAGGCTGCAACAGAGCATAGAGTAACTCAAGGGTGTTATCACACAGAGAACAGCACTTATAGATCATATCCTGACAGTGTTACACAAATTTACAGAAAATAAGTATTGATAAAATCACATTCTAACAGGCAACAGATGGAATGGATAATTTCTAGAGAAGGACAGCAATGTTCCCCAAAGTGTATCCCTGTGATGAGGGGTTTATCTGATCAACGCCTACCTTGCATTTGTCCACCAGATCATTGTCTGCAACAATCTCCACAGATCTTGGCAGCTGGCCTGGGGGAGCCTTCTCTGGCATTTCCTGAAAATATCAGCAACAGGAAAACGTAAGTACACTTACAGAGCATCATACATTTCTGCCTCTAGAAAATGTACAACATAGCGCAGGTACAGAATGAAACAGGCTAATCAGACATAGAATATCAATAGTGTGACAGAATTTTGTAAAAAGTCCCAAAACTTAAGTTTTCAACAACTTCACACCTTTCGTGAAAATGGTATTTTCCTAATGAAAGGGGACTGCTTTCATTTCCCAGTAAAACGCAATGATCCAAATTTAGGCATACTGTAACTTGACTGATGCAATTTTCCATCCCTGCAGAGTCCAATCTTATACATATTTTATTGTTTTATTCCTCCACTGTGCCATTACCTGGATGCCAAATGTCTGGTGATCCTTGTACACCGACAAACCAAACTCAGTCTCCAACAAGTTGCCATCTTCATCCTGAAAACAAAGAATAGTTTGGTGAAACACACATTTGTAACTCCTGATCAGGACGATTAAACAAATCAATATATCCATGACATGCTTAAGGCAGTGATGCTTTCCTAATTCGTACAAAATTTGAAGCGAGGGTTTTGGCTGGCAGTCTACCAAAACATTTCCATGCATGCTCCATTTGAAACATTGTTACAAAGCTGTCAGGAAGGAGTGTCTTCAGTTTTACCAGCAACAGGTCAGCATTATTTCTCCCATGAAACTGCTGCAGTGGCATGTTACTACATTGTTGATTTTTTTGTTGACGTGATTAGACAAACATGAATTATTTTAATGTCCTAACCTTTGTGGGGGTAGGCGGCTGTGCTAGGGTACGCCTCCAGTGATGTCATGTCTGTATACTTCCTCTCCATCGTCTTCTTTGTTGCAGGACAGTAGTGGACACTGCGTACAACTTTGGGGCGGATAAGAGAACCTGTGGAAGAATAACAACGATTTCCTATCATCAATAAACATCCTCTACAAAAGGGCACCAGATGACCATAGAGAGAAAATGAGTTTGCAATTACTGTGAAGGAAAAACAAATTAAATGTCAAACAATTTTGGGTCAAAGGGACCACATTTGGATGGGTGACCATTTGTGACAGCTTGAGTTTCTAGGACTTCAGTCCTGCCCCACAACGAAGCAGATATGATACATGTGGTCTCACCTTAGGCAAGTGAGATTGTTCAAAATTGCCTCTGTTCACCCAGCAGAAAGTGGGTATCTGGTGAACTAAGTCGTGAGACTATTAACCCTCAAACGCCTAACAGGCAGCCTGGGTTATCCGGGGTAATAATGATCAGATTGTGCGCTTTGAGCAGGGTATCTAGTCTTGAAAAGGCAAGTTATAAATATTGTTATTAGTATTATTATATAAGTTGTTGGAACTGCCAGGACCCTGAATCATGAATTATGATTCACACTTAAGTTAACAATCCTCAAACTGAATCACTGCAATCTTGAGTCAGAAAACATAATGGCCTGTCGTTTAATACATTGCATTGAGCAATAGTCAAGCCGTATGACAGAGGTCCATACATAATCAATCTGTTATACACAATCAAGAGACATGAACACAAGACATACACAAATGGGATACTGAGATCCATCAACCAAGCTAGAGAGCCTGACCACCCAATCCAGTGAGTTGCCTCTTACAATAAGCATGGGTTCCTGAAGACCAGTTCCAAATCAGATCCTTATTGGGTTAGGACAAACCAAAGGAAAGTTGATTTGCAGCCAGCAACAGTTACATCACAGGTCACACACTACAAATACCCCCATTGACTTTTAGTAAACACTAACAAATATCATCCTTAATTTCCAGGGACTCAAGAAAATACTCACACTTTGTGACAATACCCTCCACACACACCATGTTGCCCAGGAAACGAGATGTCAGTGATCGTGGAGTTACATGTTTTGCTCCAAAACTGGAACAGATGAAAACGTGTGAAAAATTCTTCCCTTCATAGGTTACCTTTATGTCGGTGACTTAACAGTACACATTTTTTAAAGTCTTTGTTAAAAAATTAAAACATAAAAGAGTAAAAATAGTCAAAACAGATAAAGCTGTGACATATCTTGCACAGTCAGAAGTATTTCAAACCAGACATTGTTACTGAAATTCACATTCACGATGGCAACTCCAAATTAAGCATATTTACTGATTAAGCAGCTTTGATGCCCACCTGCAAATTCCTGCCCATTCAGTGACAGATAAATTTCCAAATTTCTCTTGATTCAGGTTAAGGGCTTTGTGACAGAGCTAGGAAAATCTAATCAATTATAAATTCTACATGTTCTGTGGATGGTTTAGCCACTGGATTTGGCAATGGTATGTCAGTTAGTGTTACTGAATCACACTTTCTAACATGTTTTTGTTTTGCTGTTTCACACTGTTCTGAATAGTCCAGGTACATGATAGCAGCATGTAAAATATATTAATCTCAACTCGGTATCTCAGTCACTGACATCATGAGCTTCGCAAGTACAGACGCTTGACCACAATGCATGTTTAGTTACATCTTAACCGAAGTACAGACGAAAGAGGGGGGAGTGTATTTTACCATGGTTGATATTAGTCCCTGTATCCTTACCTTCCTTCCAGCCCAACGAAGAAAGCTTCATGTTGTTTGCTGTAAACTGGATCTGCTGAAGCAACAAGTTCTTTCAGAGCATTCTGGAAAGCTATCATCTCCTCAAAAGAATCCTCCAACAAACTGCAGAAAAAGAAAGCATACACTTTTGTCAACCATAAATACAGACTATGGAGCAAATGCACCTGATGGTCGAGGTATATTGATATTAAGCCATGATACTTGTGTAAGTTGTAGACATTCAACCTTGAGCAATCATCGTTATTTTATGAATTTTAAACAACATCTTGGCATTATTTTGTTATTTTTCATATACATATACATGTACAAATATAAAAAACGGTCCGGGAATCTTCAAATAACACTCATCATTGTACATGTGAGGAAGGTTTTGTATCATCTGTTTTTGTTGTTCACTCAACAATATTCAAGCTATATTGTATATAATGGTCTGCAGATAATCTATTCTGGACCTGGCAATCAAGTGACTGATTTCATGAGCTTCAATCCTAATCATTAACATTAATCTGATTAAGAGATAATATGCAATCAACCAAGTCAATTAGTCTGATGAAATATACATCTAATACCCTTAGACCGTCACTAGTTTTAGAATATAATCTGCATCAATAATTAAAATAGCAAATAAAACCATCAAATTATATTACGTACGCTGTCGCCCTCTTTGGATTTTTCTTTCTGAGGTCGTTGACATTGACAGTCAACCTGACCTCGCTGTTGGTGATCATATCCCTGACTTTTTGTTGATAGATGCCCTGATCTTGCTGAAATTGTACACAAACGGATATATTTATTTGTTAAGCATAGACTATATGAAATGAACATATGAAGTATATTTTCTGTGAATGCGATTTCCTCCTAGTTGTCCACACACTAGCCAAGACTCCGATGGGATAGTCCAGTCAAGGCATAATGCCAAGGATTCACTTTGACATCCTAACTTTGAAAGTATGACATCACTCGAACGCATCCACTGAATGCACAAGCAATCAATTGGTAATATATATATATATATATAATTCGTGACGTTATTTTAAGTGATTCCAGCAAGTGAAAAGCCCATTGATATTGCGGAGAAAGTCGAAGGTATTTGTCCTGGAGACACCCTAAATTGGGCAGAAAACTAAGGCATTTCCTTCGAATTATGAATTCACATTTAAACTAATAACTCACATCATCGTCCAGAAAATCCAGGTATTCCCTCTGGATATCTCTGATGCGTTGATCGAGGTCCGTAGTGGCCATAGTTGATCACAATGTTTCACTGTCACTAGATACTCCAATCTGTACACACCAACAAAGCTAACTCCCGCCAAATGACACCATGTGAAAATTTCGCGGGGTTTTGGTCACGTGATGATGTCAACATTTTACTTTCGTAGCAACTAATTGCTATGTACGCTGCTTAAAAAACACCAAGAACGGAACATTCAGAGGAGATGAAGACAAAGGGACCATTATCATCATGTTTATCTAACTTTACAAGGTGTAGAACTATGGAGCAAATATAAGAGCTACAGGGAAAATATGATTCACATGGGTATCCATGATGCATTGTAACTTATAGTTGGTCTGCCACGCATAGGATTACTAGTTTTAACATTTTCTCAGTGACCATGTAATAAGGTCTTTGTTTTTTCATCTTTTCAAAATTCAATTACAAACAACTGAAAACTGCCATTCTCAACGGGGTTTAACAGCAAGCAATAGTGAAATTCGGGTTATTTTCTCTTTATCCATTATAACATGTACAGCTGCTATAGCAGGGATACTCTACAACATATATATAGTCTCCCTGTATATAGTAACCATTACAAATGTACAATTGTTTCATTGGGATCAGATATATGTTGTCTTAAAAAAGAAATAAGAATTTGTTGTACGAAAACCTACAAAAATATATTTGTCTATAAATGTTCGCTGGACATTCAGGAGGTTCATACAAATATATCTCGGGTTATTGCCTTGAGTAAATACACCGTCCCTCTCAATGAATGTACATGTACTTGGAGGGGTAAACTGCTTTAACGTTTGTCCAATTTTCTCATTAATGTTGCCGAACTCCCATTAAAATGCCAATGATATTTATGTCGGATATGTAATTAAGACTCTATGGATATGTTGTAACATGTCGGAAACTGTATGAAATGATGATGAGAATACAAATATTTTTGGTAAGTCTCTCTCTCTCTCTCTCTCTCTCTCTCTCTCTCTCTCTCTCTCTCTCTCTCTCTCTCTCTCTCTCTCTCTCTCTCTCTCTCTCATTAAAATGCTAATGTAATGATATTTATGTCGGATATGTAATTAAGACTATGGATATGTTATAATATGTCGGAAACTGTATGAAATGATGATGAGAATACAAATATTTTTGGTAAGTCTCTCTCTCTCTCTCTCTCTCTCTCTCTCTCTCTCTCTCTCTCTCTCTCTCTCTCTCTCTCTCTCTCTCTCACACACACACACACACACACCAGGGATTGGGATAAAGAACTTTGACAATGTGCTTATTTATTAGTCATTTTCTGAATTTATAATAGGCCACTGCCCTTGTATCAATAGAAAATTTCAAAATTTTAATGGGCCATTTTTTATTCTAATGTTCAAAATGGTCCATGATCTCTGCCTTATCCAATCTCTCTCTCCCCCCACCCCCTCCTCCACACACACACACACACACACACACACACACAGAAAGTCACACACATATATTTTATGTGACTTTTATATATATAGTTGTCAGTCAGTCATGGTCTTTGGAGTCCGACGTCACAAAGTGAAGTAAACTGGGTTCCAGATCCCTTTGCGAGTATCAGTTTGCGTAAATTGTGATAATAGAGACGAAGCCCAGCAGAGAATTGAGGTCCTATTGAAATATATCCGACTGAAATTATCATTATAAGGAATAAATGCAATAAAAAAGCCAGTGAGTACACATATTCCAACATTTATATAGTTTCGATGGTATGCTATCCTTTAACAATTTTTTGCCATTTAAATATTTATGAGAACATCAGTATATTTAGTGTCATGGCGGCGCCCAGTGATAATGTTTTCGACTGCGTTTCGTCACGTTAACAAACTGACGTTGTTATCATAGCCATCGGCACAAAGGAAAGGAAAATGGCTAATAAGGTGAAAGTGTCACTGACACACGGCAAGGCGCTTGTCTGGAATGCAGAAGGTAATGAGTTTGATACTGTGTATTTACATTGATTGGTTGACATCGTGGTAAGAATTACCTCCCTTTACTTAGCAGACGATGGTCAAAAAATGAATTTCCCCAACAGAAATCACTACTTCATTCATTTTTCAAGTTTCTGATAGCTGACCATGAACTGTGTAACTACAGGTATACTTCATTCTCTCTATACTCTTCTCATAATTAATAAATATGAAAAATAAGGCTGATAAGGGACCGTTCAAAATTTATGGCTAGGGGTGGTGATGATGATTTTTATGGAGAAGCATGTACAATGTGAATGACCCCCCCTAAAGTTTATGTACAAAATAAGTGACCTCCCCTGCATGTCATGTACAAAATCAATGACCCCCCTCCCCTTCCCATAATTTCTAAGCATAATTTTAAAATATTTTTATGTACAAAATTGATGACTGCCCCATTGATGGTAATGAAACACATGTCACAAACCATGTAGTAATTAAATATACGATCATCTTATTGTCATTTTTAAATTCGTCCTTCAGATGTCCGCATTTTGCGTGAAGATTACCGCATTGTAGGAACATTGGTTGGATGTCTTCCTCGTGCCCCTCGTCAGAATGTCCACCTGGGACTACCTGTGCAGCTGATGCCTGAAGAAACTCAACTGCTTATCAGTAAAGGTTGTACAGATCCATGTACCTCTAGATCAGGAAATATTTGATAGTATAACATCAGAGCACTGCTCTGTATTGATTTTGGGTAGGGGAACGGTAACTGGGCAGGTAAATTACTGAGATTCACTTGCCCACATTAGATTTGTTATTATTTGCTCACCAATAGCCTGTGCAAACTTGTGTCTGTTATTGGTGATGTTATCGGTGCTGGGATTATCTGATTATTTGGGGTCCAAATCCAGATTTGCCCTGTTTATAATTCTTAGTTCTTCAGAACCATACCTGTGCACATTGGTTTCATCAAAGTTGTATACTTTGCACTATTTCAGGCTTTCACCTCACCTCACCTCACCTCACCTCAGGGACCCGTGAAGATCTGGGGTAGAATAGGTCTACAGCAACCCATGCTTGCCACAAAAGGCAACTATGCTTGTCGTAAGAAGCAACTAACGGGATCGGGTGGTCAGGCTCGCTGACTTGGTTGACACATGTCATCGCATCCCAATTGCGCAGTACAATGCTCATGCTGTTGATCACTGGATTGTCTGGTCCAGACTTGATCATTTACAGGCCGCTGCCATATAGCTGGAATATTGCTGAGTGCAGTAAAACTAAACTCACTCACTCACCTCACCTCACCTCAGGCTGAGGCATTGTGATAAACTGTTCAAAGTGACATTCGACCACGCTCAGTTTCACACTCATGCTCTAACCAGCAGTGTATATTACTGATGTGTTATGTCCTACAACCATGTATTCTTCCATTGCAGGTGTTGTAGAGTTAGTTGATGGTGGAAGTCTCCCAGAGCCAGACGAGAAGAAAGCTGAAGCATTCAGAAATATGAGAAATGAAAACTATGAGGGACAGGTGATCATCTTTAGTTGTTCTATTTTGTTCAGTGATGAACAAGTATTGGACGCATCTGCCTCAGAATATCTCATGCCAGAGTATTTTATAACATACAATTCATAACAGCCATTTAACAGAGCACTACTCTAAGGTTTTGTCATGAATGTAATTTTTCCCATGGTAGATATTAACTATGCAAAAAAAATTGACATGAAATATGTGCTTCCATAGACTGCCTCAAAGTGACCCTAAGGAATTCTCTGCATGAGGTTACATGGCCCAGGTGACATGATAGAAAATAAAAATCACGAAAAGGGTTTGTGTTTACACTTTCTCCAAAATTATCATTCTTGCGGGGTTTGTTTTCACTGAATTGAAAATATACCTTCTCAAGGTGGACCCCTATTTGGAATATTATTTTTCAAGATCAGTACGATTTCCAGGGGCCCATTCCACAAAGTGATCAAACTATGCCTGTTGTAAGTCTGTGTTAAAGTAACACTTGTCTTAGCACACTTGTCTTTACAGGCTATAAGTTGTAAACAGTTCAATATTTCTTTGAATACATATCAGACAAGTTGCCTTTTGCTGTTCAGTAGTTTTTTATGTGTATATTTTTGTTTCTAAATCAGCAATTTTGTGTTAGGTCTATATGAGGGTAGGGTTTGCTTCATTGAACATCACTAATAAATTGTTTAACATATCTTAGTGATACTTGTTATGCACAACAAGCAAGTGGTTCACTGGTACTCTTTGCTAATCAAGAATAATTAAGTGATTACGTTTTGTGTTTGTATGACAGCCAATAAAAGATGTACCAATGAGGGTAGGCATCTTTTCTAACTCATCAACTAATAAACTGTTTAGTATACTTCATGAAAAGTTGTCACTCAAGTCAGGCAATTTTTCAGTTTTTTCCATTTAAGTTTTCAAAGATCAGTCTCATGATATAATATATTTCACTCCAAAATGATACCTATGCATGAGGTGAAATTGGGTTTACGATGTGCTTGAGAATATTTCGCTCATATGACGCGTTCATGTGTGTGTATGTGGGGCTGCTTGTACTAGCCCAGACTTAAGTTGGTTTTATAGTGCTAGTCCACTGAGATACATATGCATGAAGATGTGATGACGCCTCCTTTGGAGTTTTCATTATGTGTTTCATGTCCTCTTACCCCAATTGCGTAGATCGATGAGCATGCTGTTGATCACTGGATTGTCTGGTCCAGATTGATTATTTAAAGACCGCCTTCATGTAGCAGGATTATTGCTGAGTGTGATGTAAAACTTAACTCACTCACTCACTCCATCATGTTTTTCATTGTATATTTGTTCAGATTGAATCCTTCAGACAAGATCGAAAACGAGAAATTTATCGCCACATGAGTAAAATAAGAGAAGGAAAGAAAGCAAAGAAGCAAAAGCTATTGGAGGAGAAGAGAAAAGCAGGGGAGGAAATAGCAGAGGATGAAGAAACAGAGGAAGAGTTTGATGTGGAGCAAATCCCAATTCCTGCCATTGCTGAGGACAACTCCATGATTCAGACCTTCACTCGTAACTACAAATTCTTCCAAGAAAAAAGTTCTATATTTGTCCTTGTGAGCTTATGTTTGAAAGTAAAATGATGTGTTGGTTAAGCGTTTGTTAGCAATAATGTGTAGGTTGAACTACCTACTTGAATGACTAATCGAGTTTTACACAACTTTGAGCAGTATTTCAGCAATATAGCAGCAAGGGACTCTGGAATTGTGATCCAGACATTGTACCACCCACCTGGTAATGAATAACCTGTCATGAGTAGAATCTAGAATCACTAGAGTCTCCCTTTTCCTACTTATTGATTTTATGCCAGATCTTGTTTGGTCTGACTGTAACTATTATCAGGGTTCGACTTGGTACCCATTACTCTATTGAATGACATATGAGTCAACTTTTTTTTATCAAGAGGTCAGGCAAGATGCTGACTGCACATTGAGTGCCGCTGGTTTGAGAAGGCCAGACTAGATTATTTAAAAGCTGTTCATGATATAGCTGGAATATTGCAAATGTAGACTAAAAACAATATTCACTGAATTGATGGTGAAGTGATAGTGTTGTTATGCAATTTCAACTGCAGTGACATCATTGAAGATGACTTGGTTATTATTTGTCACCATGAGCAAGTTTGTGAAATTTGGAGCTTCTGTATAGTATCACTGACACAGAGAGCATAGATGTAATATTCATACTGTCTTGCCCAGTGACATCAAATATATCTCCTATCTCAAAAAGAAGAAAAATTTCTTTGTGGATGCATATACTAAACAATATGATCACCAGGAAAGGGGGTTAACAAACTTGACATATTAAAGGGTTGTTTCATTCCTTTGAATGTATATCTATGCTTATTTGTAGAAAGTCCATGGCAAGATGAGCTCCAACCAGTGACAAATGAGTGGAAGTACCCCCAGTCAGAGCATGAACGCCTCCGGTGTCAGGTGTTCTCATACCTGTGGGGCAGAGGCTACTATATGACAGGTGGAGGGAAGTTTGGGGGAGACTTCCTTGTCTACCCAGGTGAGCAATTTGCTTAATCAAGTTTGAAAAATATGTGGAGTTGAAATTATTGTTATCAAAGACTAAATCATGTTTATAAGATATGTCTTATTAATTTCAATCACCAATATATATGGTTAAATCCAGGATTGAAAAAAGGCCTTATCCCCTTTTTGTCCAGATTTTGATCAGTTTGACTAACAAAAGCTGGAAAATTAAATATTGTGAACACTGCAAAACATCTGAAGATTTAGCAATCAAAAAAAAAAAAGCTCTTCCTTTATTGCCTTCCAGGTGACCCATCACGCTTCCATTCATTCTACATTGCTATCTGCAAACCCCACCAAGAGAAGCTGACTGCTTTGGATATCATATCCATGGGTCGACTGGGATCTAACGTCAAGAAGACTGTTCTCCTTTGCTCTGTAGACAGTGAGGGTAAAGTTGTATGTACATCACTACAGTGGACCGGTATCAGCTGATTGCTGATACCGGTCAGTGGGATGAAGATGTGTTCAGTGGTCAGTCCTGGAGAAGGTGATGATTTCCTGAACTTGGGAATCTTTGAGTCACAATAGCAGAACATGTGTTACAATATGTCAGTAGATTGGATCCAGTATGATGACTATCCTAGATTTCTGCACAATTCATGAGCGCACCGAGACTTCAATAAGATTCATACTGGAATAATCAATCAATTCCCATACTAGCCAATATTTTAAATAAGTGAAACAACTGACATCCAAGTGTGCTTATATTGAACTTATTTACTTGGCGGGATATTCACGTGTTACAAGTAGCTGCAAGATTGTTGAAGTGTTTTGCAGACATTACTCACGAAGGGATGTTTATGATGAGTTCTGACTGTAGCTACCTAAACTGCCTGGTTCACTTTAACCAGACTAGTACACTTGCTTATAATTCACCCGATTTCCCCAGAGTTATAAAAATAATAAGACTAATATTTTGTGGTGAATAAAATACTCTATATTCTTTCCAGCCAGCTTGGTTATACTTCATTGAGTGTGGCTGAGTGTTTTTATATGCTCCAGCTGTGTCAAGTTGCATCCCTTGTTTGTGACAGGATCCACCTGCCACACTCCAGATTAACCCTGATAAAGATCTTTTGCTTGTCACCACCATACCTACACTGAGGGGTATGAGTGGTAATGGTTAGAGTCATTGATCACTTTGGCGTTTCCTTCCACTTTATATTGAAACATGTTGATATTTAAAAGAAACCATTCAAGATAAATGCAAATACCATTTGGTTGGTATGGAAAAGAGTTTTGCAATGTTTGTGTCATGAAAGCTGCTAATTGAGATTATGTCCAACTGCTTGTAATTGTACATTATAAGTTGTTCACTGGTCACAGGGCATGGGTTGATGTACCCTCGATGTTTGTTTATGTTCCCTGAGCCTGAAGCAACTGTGGCTGAGTGGGTTAGATGGCTGACTTTGTCTGCTGGCGATTAGGTGCTCGACTTGCCAGCACACAAGTGTGGGTTCAAATCCTGGATTGGACTCAACCCAGCGAAAGTACTACATTCTGTACTTTACTGAGAAAGTGTAGTCCCAAATATAACGTGTTATATTTCAGTTTTGTCATAGCTTGATACAGGAGGAAAGCCTATGGTCAAGACATTCTCCACTGTGGTGGAGCCTCAATGACATGGATATGGTGCCGTCAAACCTGGAAACACTCAAAAGGCAAATCTTGCATGGCAAAAAGGATGAGCACATAACTGACTGGGTCAGAACTGTGAGACATGGATAAGCAGTCACTGAATAGTACTTTCATCCAGAGATTACTAAGTGACAGAGTTAACCAAAAATCTTGTATCAAGGCAAGATATAACAGCAAATACTGAAATGGTTCTTTGCTTATTATGCTTCTTCACACAAGGATAGACAGCAACTTGGCCAAAACTTTCTCCACAACTTTTCCCCTCCTTAACACATGTCAAAATTATGACAAAACCATGTAATTTGCTTTGTAACAGTTTATTTGTTTTCAACACTTAGCATTCACTAACAATGACAATGAATAGCTTTCTTCATGAACTTAACATGTAAAAACATTTTTACGCCTTACAAGTCTATGACTGTCAAGGTCGTTTTACATGTTAAGTTCTTGTAGAAGAGATAAAACATTCACAAGATTCATTCATACTCCATAAAAATGTCCCATCATTTTGTCCATTTCTATATTAAAATAAACTATTTGAATCAAAATAGTCAGATTTTCATTAAAAATTTCATGCCAATCAATCCTGTCAACATGTTCAATTATTGTAAATGTCACATTTACAAATGAATAAAATAATGTCTCTCATAATGCAGGATTTCATGCACATGTGTCTTGTTCACAATCATGAAACATATGTACAAGAGTGAACAAAGATGCATTCATACTTATCTCATTCTCACACTAAAATTCTTTGGTTTTGAAAGACTCTTTTGGCAAAGAAAATAAATACTTCTGGTATGGCAGTACAAGATAACTTTAGGATGGATTTCAATACTGATTCATTTGATTCCATAAATTAATTTTGGATTGATGTATAGGTCATTTCGTAATGAACACATCTGAGTGATCTGCAAGTGATCTATATGCTTGACAGCAAAAAATAATGTTCCATGGAGGAATGTCTTGTAATATGATATGCATTGTTGAGATCATCACATAATGCAACTGTTCTGTAAAGAGAACCTAGTATCAAAACTGAGATTCACATCCTGAAATATTGCGATTGTCGCTTTTGTTTGCATCGTCACCTCAACAGAAATATTGTGGTAAATTGTTGATGCCAGCACCTTGTCATAATGAACACATTAACCGTATTGCACTTTCGTCATCTGTTGATGGTCAGCTCAAGCTGCATTAACTGTATGGATGGATTAGCTTTGTCCAGCAAAGCTTCTACAGGGTGAAGTTTTGGCAGGAGTCACCGCTATAACCGTCTAAGATTTCTTTTGCTCTTTTTCGAGCCTACTGAGTCCAGTTTAGATTTCTTGAGTGCCACTGGCACGCAGTTCCCGAGATCCATGATGCTCACAGAAACACTTTACACAGAAATCAAATTTACAATTGTCACTCGTACACACACCACGATCACAATGGGTCTTGGCTGCAGAATTACACCTGGGACAATGTCTTAATGTGTCGTCACTTTTCAGAGAAGAAACAACCTGAAATCAGATGTTTGGCACTTTTAGTTTCATGTAACACACATTTATTTCAAATGACATGGCAGAAAATAATTATCATAAAGCATTCTGAATACAAAATAACTTTACCATAAGTTATGATCTTGGTTTTCTCTTCCTTGCATTACAAACCTCTTGTTTAAGTTGTCTTGTATGATGTATCGTGTTACATACCTGAGAATGCTGAGTAAATAGGTTGACAACTGGCATTTTCTTTGGTGAGCGTGGTGTGTGTTGAACTGATGTCAGTAATCCCCCTGGTGTCAGATGTCGATGTCCAGTCTTCGTCTTCCCAAGGTTCTCCTGCAAAACAAAATATAGAACTTTTTAGAATTGAAGACACTAATACTATGATAATGCTGTGAACTTGCATATGAAGTTGCAGTTACACGAATATATCCTGCTTCAGTGACAGGTCACAGTTACAGGGAGAACATGTTAAGATGGTGGAGAAACCTACCTTTCCGACAGAGGCTGCTCTTGATTTGAGAGATTTGATGTACTTGTGACATCTAGCACTAGCTCTGTTATCTGTGTCACAAATAGTTTTCCATTGCCGGGATACAGCTCTAATCCTGCAAAGGACATGACATTTAATATATGTGGAATAAATAATGCATATTTTTAACAAACAAAAGAAAAATGTATGTTTGACAATAAAACTAAAACAATGAATTGCAGCAATGTATATCATTGTTTCATACCTTTTATGAATTAATATTTAAAGTTCATCTGAAATTTTTTTTAAAAACCCACAAAACTTGATAATGGAACAGCGACTGGTGAAGAAAGATACAATATTGAAAGAAGTTGTTTACTCCATGCGTTGTTCATTGTATATATTGTTTTCATATTCCTTTACCATACCTGCACAATTCCTTTGGTTCCAAGTATGACAGTACAAGAGACACTCCTTCAATGCTCCTTGCATGCATTTCATTCAAAATGTCAACTTTCTCCAGTCCCACCTTCCTCCCAATAAGACGGTCAGGCTCTTTAGGGGAGAAGTGTTGGATGACATCATGTATGCCAACAGAATCCAATTTGTCAGCTAAACCTGATGCACCAAAACTGGAGTCCAGATCACCAGATTCAAATTCCAAACTGTATCTTGGAAAGTCAGAGAGGCGCTTATGCCGCTTCTCAAACACTTCTTCCTCTTCAGGAATTAGCCAATCATGTTCAAGAGAGGCTGAAGAGGCACAGTCAGTGTCACATGTCATATCGTCACATTTTGAAAATTGTAATGGATAAGCATTATCCTCGGGCAAGTCACAGTCTGTTGAAACCAAGGGGGTGGTTTCAAGAAAAGCTGTGTCATTTAAAAGGTCTGTTGATGTTTTAGTATCTTCCACAAGGGAATCAGGATAACCACTGTCATTTCCAGGTGAATACAAACTCAATGGGGAGAGTATTTTTGATGCCATTGGAGTACTTGTGCTAATTGAGCGACTCTTGATTACATCAGAAAAGTCATTTGAATAGTCCATTTTGCTGATGTGAAGAGCAGGCATTGACACCTTCCGAGATCTCTGGTACCCTGTACTTGCCATCTGAAGTAAATGAAACAAAAGTTTGTTATAACACAGTTAACATCATAGGATGAAGATATTAATTTTTTTTACATTAAATATATACTACTGTTACCATTACAAAAATTCCAAATTTACATATATACACTGATAAACCAAAAAAGTAAATGTCACAATTATTGAATTGTGAAATGATAGCAATGTCATAACAGTTGCTGCTTTGGTAATAACCATGCAACATATCAAATGTTAAATACATCAGGTTGAGTAGTGTTTTTAAGGCACCAGTAACAATCTAACACACTAAGCATTAATCTCTCACCACACTTGTGAGTGACTGATTGCGCACTAACAGGTGGACACCTGCAGCTTCTGGGGCCATGTGTTCCATATTACATCATGGCTTTGCATTTTCTTGTTTGTGTACCGATGAGCCGAATTACTTGGGGTCCCATTCCACTGGGCACTCTTTAAGTTTAATCTGATATATTTTCCGACTTAGATACTATAAAAAAATCGTGTATGTTTGATGTATTAGCATGTTTACTTAGTGTTAGTCAATGACGAACCTGACTTATTGCTATACAAATTTTGGTTTAATATCACTTTTGCCAACATCGGACATCTTAAAAATAGTTGGGGGTAAGACTTCCGCCCGTATCCCCCCCAAAAGTTTAACAATGAGGACAAAGGCCAATAGTTGTAAGAACTACACTAGTAAAGGAAAAATATCTTGAATGATGACGCTCGAGAATCTTGTGACCCCCGCCCACCGTCACATTGTCCATGTTGGGGCGCGCCTCCTGACCGCCATGAAATACTTTGGGCAAAATGTACACCAAGATTTGAATATTTTATGCGATCCGACATCAAATTTTGTCTGTAGTTCAGATACATACAATTTTACAGTCTAGTATCAAACAATATATTTCATAGCTAAGATTTTGAAGTGAAACCAAACCGCTCGTGCCTGTTCAAGCCAAGCGGGAAGGACTTCGCGAGGTACTCACCATATCGAGAGATATATCCCTTTGTAGTAAGAAATGTTTGTAAAATTGGTAAAAAATGAGTTCAAGTGGTCAACAGCATTTGACAAGGGCCGCTGAAGATTAATATCATAGCTCATGTAGTGATCCTCGAGAAATATTTTTGCAGCGTACACCACGAAGCGCATTCATAGTTCAAATCGTTCGCCACATAACACGCGACCAATCAAATCGCTGGAATTCGCAATTGTTTATCTCGCGAGATACACAACGTATAACGTGATTTGACGAGACCACTGCTTATGTTTGTCTTTCCGGTGTAAACAAGAGCACGTGAATTACAAAGTAGGAGCACATATAAAACACACATTTTTCAAGCTTTGTTTCTTGGAAATGTAAAAGTAATCCACTTGTGAAATAGAAAAGAGTAAAATGTTCTCCTTGCGAAAGATGTTTTTATTACCATGTCAGTGTATAGTAATGAAATTGTCCGTATTTCGCGCATTTTATGTTGAACGGAAAGAAATGACTAATGGTCAGCAAAGAGGTGATGTAAAATAGAATTGTTGGATGTACCTTGGCAGTATTGAGTAAGATTGTGGGTTCTTTTCTGATGTTTTTTGCTACAGTTTGAATGCTAGTACATGATCAGGCAATTTTTTTTGTTAACAATGATCAGTTGTATGTTGCCCAGCGTGTATGAATCGTTTTGTCCCCAGAATACCTTGTTGTCATTTCTTAAAAAGGTCCTTATTATACCATTTCAGAAAAAGTCATATAATGGAGCAGTCCGGGAAGGAGACTCCTGGTGGTACGACTAAACAACAAACGATGGTTTACATTTGTGGAGGTAAATTGCACTGTAGATGTTCATATACTAGTACAAGATAATAATATAAATAGATACACTATTATTTCATGTAGACTTGGTTGACAGTCCTAGAAGAAGTTGCCAGGCTGACAAGGAGGGATATTTGTATATATCAACATGTTTCAATATAATTTGTTTGGTACAACAGTATGAAGGCCTAGGTAATAGTTGTAGGTGTTACCTTGTTCACTTGCTTGGACTATCTAGCTCCAGTATCAGGACCAGAAATAAGGAACATGTGACACATTTCTAATTTATACCCTTCATTGTCAACACATGTTCTTGAGCTAATTCTAAGAGTACTTCTAATTATGACAAGCACACTTTTATTGTTTTACAGTTGTAACTAATCTATACAGGGCTATTGTTTTCAAAGGGGAATTAGGATGTCTCATTTCAGTGATTTTGCCAGCTTCTGGTTAGAGGGCTATTACATCACCTTGAGGAATCGGTTTTGTAAGGATTCTGACCCTGAGTGGCTGACTATCTGTGAAAGGATGAACAGTGCTCTTTATGAAGGGTGTTTGTTCTAGGGTTTAATCTTAATGCTCAAATTACAATCCTTCTCATGATTCTGCTTGGACCCCAGAGAAGTAAAAAACGTGTTGCCTACCACTGAGGTTAACAAATATTAATTTGTGTCAGATTGTACATGTATTTGGTACACATTTCCTGACTTTAATTTTCATTAAAAAAAAAGTCAAGTCCCAAGATATGTTACCACTCTTTCAAAATGTCTATTTTTTGTTCCCCTCATTTCTTAATAAATGTACTACCCCATCGCCGAAATACCTTAGTTGTGCGTGCAGCATTAAATAAACCAAATAACGTTATTTTTTATCAAAGGTATCAGATGATAAATACACTTGCCTCTTGGATTTATTTTCTACTCTACTTATAGTATACATGCCATGTTTACAGAAAGTAGTTTGTTCATATTGAACAATTGGATCTTTTCTTTTGATTTTTATCCATGAGTAAGTCATAAACATGGACTGTTTACCAACTGGTGATATGAAGATGTGTCAAACTGTGTTGATCTCCTTTTGTAACCAGTATTGGATGTTTAATGTATTGTTAAGGCAATAAACCATCACGATAATCTCTGTGTAAACTGCTATTTGATGTTATCAGAAATCACATGGGATGGGAGATCCACAAAAACAGTTCATATCTGGTGGAAGATAGAAATGACTGCAATGTTATTCAATACCAAGTTTTTATATAGTGTTTTCCCTCTATACTGCTTATAAATTAAAGAGAAAAACAACAATATTTTGTTTAGGAATAAAAAAGACAAACTAAATCCCATCTGATTTATTGCCTCCTTAAACAATAAATACAGATGACATTCTTAGTTAACTGAACACAGGTAGTTACAAAGTACATTATTAGTAGGATGGCATTTATTGCCCTGTGCTACTAGCAAGGTGTTAAGACTGCATAACTGCAATTGAACAAGACACAATACTTTTTATTGGGGCTGCGTTCTCAGGAAATGTCTGGTGGTGATCCTTTCCAGACACTGATCTTGTATTGTACTTCTATTATTGACTTTATAAGGTTTAATTATTCAAATATTGTCGGCAATATTCTTTTTCTATTTTTCCCTGTCTTTCTCATTCAATATGGAATAGCATATTTAATACAGAAGACTTGATACTAATGATTTGAATATGCATGTGATGTGATCTGCCATAGGTGATTTATTTGATGAAGAAATGTTTCATGTTGTTTTGTATTGAATATATTTTATTGTCTGAAAATACAAAGGCATTGGACATAGGACACTGCTTATTGCCACCTTTTCTGTATATACAGTTAAACATATTACATTATGGAAGTACACAAATTACAACTGGCACTTGTCATTCTGGAAATCTACTGGAGAGTGAAATAGGTGTACATCTCATACATATGCATATTTTAGTAAAGTATTCAAATAAAGATCATGATAGGTACTGAATCTGCAAGTCACTTGAATATGTTTGTGTACAGACAAGAATATATTTGTGTTCAGTAAAACATTTTGGTTTGTTTCACCCAATAAAATACTACATAGAAATTTGTTATACAAGACTGTCACCTGCTGACAATAATATGAGATGCAGATTGCTTTAATTTGAGAGGTGACAAACTATCCCTTGCCCCTGATTCTAGATTATTCCATTGGCTTTGTGTATCTATAACGGGATCTTTTAAACATAGATATCAGTGCAAATGATACATGAAGATCATAGCGTTGGGAGACACAGATGGTGGTATAACATCAGTTACATATTATGATGAACTTTTCTGATCAATTGTTTCATAAATAGTTACAAAGTGCAGTGTCTGTAATATTGTGAGAAAGAGGATGTGATTAAGATATCTGTACAAATGATGCATGAAGATCATAGCGTTGGGAGACACAGATGGTGGTATTAGATCAGTTACATATGGCGAGCATTTTAGATCAATAGCTATATAATTAGTTACAAGGTGCAGTGTCTATGATATGATTTAAACATATTTTATTCATTTAAGTCATGAATGCATTGGCCAACAAGCTATGACAAAGAGGATGTGAATAAGATGTTTTTGTGTGTTGTTAGTCAAGTTTCAATGAATTCTGATGTCTGATTACTGAATATGAAATATGTATTAGAACCAAGTTACATGGATCTAATATACTTGCTATGAAATGAGTTTTTTAACTGCTTGTGTGAGATATGATACTTTCCTTGATGTTTATTGGTATTTTGTAAATTCAGGGATTATGATAATCCTGCCTTTCTTCTGACGTGTAGAAATTGTGTCACCTGTTAATTTGCAAATAATCTGTGTTTATTCATATTTTACTTATTGGCAGAGCTGGCTTTTCTTTTTATCTGGCAAATCAAAATAGGTGTAGTTGTTATAGTTTTTCAAATGGTCTTGATAAAGGATTCTGGATTTGTAATGTCTGTTTTGTGATTGCAAATATTTAATCATGTGAAGTAAACTATTGAATACTTTGTTTCAGAATGCCACCAGGAAAATGAGATCCGAGCACGTGATCCAATCCGATGTCGTGAGTGTGGCTACAGAATAATGTACAAGAAGAGAACAAAAAGAAGTATCCTTTGTTTTAACAGTGTTATTCATTCAAACTAATTTTTTGGTCTCGATAGCACACTACCAACTGTTTGGCCCCCAGTAAGTTATTGCCATAAGAAGTCGACTCAATTAGATCAGGTGGTGAGACTCTTTGTCTGAATGTAGGTCACATTGCTCTAGTGGTGTTGATTGTGGCTGCTGGCTCCAGTCACTGACTTGTCTGGTCCAGACAATTAATTTCAGACTGCCATGGTATTGGTTTGAAATAAAAACATTCACTTACTCCTTCAGTGAATTCAGCTGAATTGTTAGTGCATGTAAACTGTAGTGTGAACATTTTCAGGAAAGTATATATTCTATGAAACATCACCACTACTGCCATTAATCAAGTAAGCAAGTATATTTACAAACAATAATTTATTATTATGTTACATAAGTAGAGTTTTGCCAATTCATGTAAGACATCACAAATATGAATGAAATATTCGATTTTTTTATTTTGGGTGTAAACATTAAGTGTTATTACTGTAAAATGTTTGAGTATGGTGTTCACAGATGCTAACTCACAGCTGGCTGACTGGTTATTAGTTTAAGCTTTCTTGCTCTTATTGTTAACTGAATAATCCAAAGTATTTTAGCAAATAAACTCAATCTTTTAACATCTCTTGTGCAGGCGATGCATATGTATACATAGCTGAGACTAGAACTGATCCATATCTGTGATTTGATCTTTTAGATCTGCAAACCAAACACTGATTTAGTCAGTTATATGATTTCAGGTTTCACCTAAACTGGTAAGAATCACTACAACTCACATCAGGTTATTATCTCCAGCATTTAACTGATTTAAGAGCATGGGATTTAACTGCAATGCTTTTGAAATCAGTGTAAATCCAAATTCAGTCTGAAAAGTGTATGGATGTTTTACTTCCTTAACCATTTCTCAGTGATTGTATTTGATGCTAGGTGAAGACTGCAGATATCTCTTTTCATCATTTATCATCTTGGTGATCCTGTACAAGTCATCTTAAGCCTGCGGCTGCCTCCATCATCTGTTCTAATGGTCATTCTTTACCTGATGCCAAGGGGGGTGGGGTGTTAGTATTTGCATGTTTCTGTTAGTTGCAATAAGATGGTAATTCTTCTAAATCAGTCAAATAGGTCATTTTAAGAAAATATACTTGTGAGATATGTCTGATGTGTACTGTAGGCATATGTTTTATGTACAAGTAGTAAATTGTATAAATCATCAGGGAAATAGTCATGGTTCTTCAAGAAGGTATATGAGAGATAACTATGATGCAATGTGTGTGAACTGCAGATACAGGAGAGATAACATAATAATCATTGTAAATCTCCCAAGAAGCAGTGAATGCCTTTTGACACAACACAGGAAATACCTTCAACACCAGCTTTCCATGCCTTTATATAAGAACATGTTTCTGGTTTATTGGCTTCTTTTAGACATATTATATTATATTTTGGTCTGATTATCTATCTAAAGAAAAGCTCATGAAGATTGGGTTAAATCAATGTCAGTGGATCTGGCTAGCTATTCTCGAAACGTTCGCAGCCCTATGAACTTCTTAAGCCCATTCTTAACACATTGGCTACAATCAAAGTTAAGAATACTTATGGCTACGAACGTTATGAGAATAAGGGCCCAGGATTCCAACTGCAAGATCAAGTAATACTTGCACATGCTCTTGTAAAACATTAATTTGCATTATGTCTGTTTTCAATGTATTTCTTACAAAATATTCATGTCTGTCATCAAAGTGTAAATAAATCCTTATCATTTATTGCTGTTTTGTGTGTTACGTGTTGTCAAGAATTTTGGAACACCTGAAGTTTCTTTCAGTGTGTTGAGAGGTGGAAAAGCTGAGTCATTTCTCCAACCATAGTTTTAGCTACTGTAATGTACTTTGGACACAGCTGATCTCTGGGCTCCAACATTATTAGTTGAGCTAATGCATCTTTGTGAATTATTTGACAGTTGATGCTGAGAAAACAATGCTTGTGACTGGCTAAAATGTGAATATATGACCAGACTACTTGTGTTTCATTGTACCGGATTGGTAGGTTGCTCATGTTATCAACCACGTCAGTTTATTATGTAAGCTCAAGGACATGGGTTGCTCAGTCAGCGGAAATGTTGGCCATGGGGGATACTAGAAACCTACTGTTGTGGGTTCGAATCCTGGTTCACCCTGATTATGTCTTTTGGTTTGTCAGCACACTACCGTTTCACCAAAGCGGTCAAGAGCTGAGACCTGCTTCACTGTCAGCTTTCCTCGACATGAAGATGTAACTGGAATAACGTTAAAATCAGTATTTAACCCAACCCAATCACTCAGATGCAAAATCCCTTATTGAAATATCACCTTGATATAGGTGTGATATGCTGACTGAAATGTTCATTTATTCGCTCAATGACTTGGTGAAGCAAGTGTGATGTTTCCATACTTCAGATTATCTTTTTGGTTCTCATACATAATGATTAGGTGTGTAACTGTATTGTATTACAACACCCTCCAACACCCACCACAGATGACTGATATTGCACCAACTTTTAACCAAGCGATCTTGGCGCAAAGATGATCGCAACGCCAAGCCAAGAGCCACGATGTCAAAATATTTATTTCTGGAACATTTACTTTTAACAGGCGATGTTTTTAGGTTGAAGTAAAATGTTTTGCTATGGATCTTTTTTGGTTAAAATCGTATTTGACTCTGAATAGTATAGGGAACTTTACGAGATTTGTGTGTGTAACACATAGATGGGTCTAGGGAACTTTACGAGATTCGTGTGTGTAACATAGATGGGTCCAGGAATTTTCAAGGTGAACCCCCTGAACCCCCCTCTGGATCCGCCATTAGATTACCAATAGAAAACAGATACATGTAGAATACAACTGAATCATTTTGTGTCGGTAAAAGTACCCAGACAGCTGTGATCTACAACACAACCTGTCAACACCTGTCTTCAACCCACGCCGGGAGTTACGAGGCCTATCTAACATTCTGTTTCAATTGACGAATGGGGGTCATGTCAAAAGCCACTTGGATGAATCGGAGCAGAGTAAAGGGAGCATCGTTGACGGTTGCTTGCATTATGTTGACCTATCACAGTTTTAAACCTATAGAATATGTATATCAATTCGTCGTTCTTGTGGTCGACTGTGGGTAATTTATTTCGTTTACAATGTACAATTCAAACGGGGGACAAATGTGTTTGAAATGTCCCCGTATGGTGTCCCTTTATCAGACAGTAATCTGTTGTAAAAACAAGGTATCTCCTCAAAGGTGGGAAAACCCCTTAAGCTAATCTTAATCCGGATTATTACTTGAGGGAAGATATAGATTAGAAAGTTCAAAGGTTAGGAAAATATACGTTTATTAACATAATCCCAAACAGCGGATGTCCGAAGCAACAGTAAAAAGAAGTTGAGTCCCGTCTGACCAGTTAGGTAAAGACCTGTAATTAAATATTGACCTGTTTGACCAAAGACTATAGATTGACAGATGTGGCATCTGTCCTTCCGCGTGAAAAAAACATTGCTGGAAGCGTTTGTAAAATACTTACTCTCCTCATGGAATATTCTTCCGTATCTCTTAATGGTTCTATTAATTAATTGAGTGAGTGAGTGTAGTTTTACGCCGCACTCAGCAATATTCCAGCTATATGGCGTCCCTCTGTAAATAATCGTGTCTGGACCAGACAATCCAGTGATTGTCAGCGAGCCTGACCACCCGATCCGGTTAGTCGCTTCTTACGACAAGCATGGGTTACTGAAGGTTCATTCTAAGTTCTAACCCGGACCTTCACGGGTATATTAATTAATTGATTTAAACATGATGCAGTAATGCAAGTCCTGAAACGAAGTAAATTAAGCTTATGCTTACTTGATGGTGGAAATTTCTTGTATTCCATTCACAAACGCCAAGTAATGATGTAAAATGTCACACGGAAGACTTTCAATGTTTTAAATTTGGTTAATTGTTTCTTAATGTATAATGCAGTGAGTAGGTGTAATTTTATGACACACGGCATTTGAGTTCAAAGCCAAATGTCAGCACAGCGGGATCCCCTCCTCAGCTTCTGTTTGTTCAGAGTGATGCGTAGCGCTTGGCGTTAGCATCTTGACACTGAATCTCAATTGTTAATTGTGACGGGAATTATCTGATGTAGACATTTACAATAATGTCCCCAAATAATCTCCAACAGTACCATCATGAAGATGCAAGGGGTACAAGTCCAACAATACCCTCCTGAATCTATTATACTACCAACAGGAATAAGAGAGTTGATAAAATATAAGTGAAGGTGTAATGACGATGAGGTGTGACGATCAATATCTGGCGTGTCCCCCATGCTGGTCGCTATATGTTCGACACTTTGATGTCATATTGTTCATGAACTTATTTATATATATATAATATTTATATATTATCAATCACCATCAAAAACGTCAAAAGATGGTATACTTGCTGCTCCGTCCGTCGTTCGACATTAAGGGGTGTATGACGAAGATTTCAAAATAAAAACCCCCAGTATGATTTGATATTGTTAATGAAATAAATAATATTTCGATAAATAACTAGGGATAAATTAAGTATGTGTAATAGACAAAACAAAAACCATAAAGAACAATAAGTTGCAATTTACAAAAACGGGTTTCCGTGCTCTCAAAAGACGGCGGGCTCACAACCACAAATCTGAATCAACTACATTGAAACGGGGCACCTGCAGATCAGAGTGACCTCCCTTAGTTCCTGCAAGAGACGATTGTCTTTCAGTCTTGTTCATTTCAGGGAAATGAGAACGGAGGAGTTGTTTGACGAAGCGGAGAAACTGGAGAGGTTGGGAAAGAGGGATGAGGCATTACAATTTTACACACAGTTTATTGAAGATGCATCGATAAGGTTGAAAAACCTCAATGACCAAAATGAAAGGAGCGCACTGTAAGTCCTCAGACTCGGAGATGGAGAAATGAAACTATGTATACCATCCGCAACAGGCATGTTTTGTTCAACATGTCAGATCTTTGATAATAATTATTTGTTGATTTACAAATCTTCCTATTTGCACCACTAAATATTCCGTATCTCTAGCTACAAACAACAGTCCCAATCAGCAGGCGTATTTGAGGGGGCAGGCGTATTTGAGGAGGAAGTGTTAATGTTTGTAATTTAAACGTGTCTTGAATCAATAGGAAAGGAAGGGTTTTAAAATGGTACATTAAACGACTGACATTCATTATTTGTCAGCATAGTTTTTTTGAATATGGAATGTGTTCTGCTTGACTATTATACATGACATCTGTGACACTTGTCCTGTTTGACGTAGACATATATTATATAGGGCAGTACGTATACAAATATAGATATGTAAACAACATATTCAGTTTATCATGAACTTTATCCTTAAGACTGAGCGACGATATTATTGTAGTTACACATCTGAGGTCATGTCCTGATTCAAAATTAGACATGTAGACAAAGATGACATGTATTTATGCTAAATGTGAATTGTAAGGTAGTATTTTCTGATTGAAGGTTATCTTAAATGACTTTGATGTGATTAATCAGTGAGGTGTACACCTTTTTGCGTGAATTGTGTAGTGGTTTGGCTATTTTGAATTCCCAATATTATTCAATAATAAGTACAGGGTTATTTTCAAAATGACCACGAACACATTGTTCAACATGTCCATCGAAGACGACCAACTGATCACACATTTGGTATGTTTTGCACCTGATATTTCATAACAAATATCTGTAACAGTTGTTTAGGCATGTGATCAGTTGATAGCACATAGCACAGTTCCAACAACACCAACAGGGTTGTATATTTAAGTTCATTTTGAATCAGATTTCCGCTGACTTCAATGTCTTCACTGTCATTAAGGGAGATGCAGTGGTGCTCCCGTGGGTGCTAACATCACAAAGAAACTCAGAGTAAGACTCACTGCTGACAAGCTAGATAATCGTTTCTGCTCATTCCTTGTATGTCTGATGAATCCATGTTTATGAGTGAGTTAGTTTAGTTTTACGCAACATCACGGCGGGAAATATCAGAAATGGGCTTTGCACATTGTACAATGTGGGGAATCGACCCTGGGTCTTCGGCATGAAACAGTGAACACTTTAACCATTAGGCTATCCCTCCGCCTCCATGCTTGTATGAGTCAAGAACATGCTGATATTTATGCACAAATTTGCTACACTTTAGACACTTAAAACCGTGGTGAATGGCAAGTGATACAAGTAAATACAAGTGAATACAAGTGAATACAAGTGATCTGCTTCACACTATTCTTACATCCAGCATCCTTTCTCTGAGTCAGTCTAGTCAGTTTTTTCAATCACCACAGTATCAAAGGATGTGTTATCAAAAGCATATAAACAGCTGGATTAGTAAAGACAATACACACAGGTATCACTAACATTCAAATGTTATGTGTTATATATTTGATTAGTGAAATGTGTAGAACTAATGATTGAAACTGATGCTTTTTATATTTTATGTAATATTTCATGTGGCCACTTTGTTTTTTTCGGTTATCGGACAATCTGACAAAGGTATATGTGACCATTTTCACCTGTTACTACTCTCATTTGTACTGTGTACAGTTGTATAGGTAATATGTCATTGTAGTATGATGAGGAAGGACTGAAGTCCTTCCTTGAAAATCTCAGGAGTCAAGCTGCCAAACACGGTCACCCATCCAAGGACTCTCCGCGAAACAACATTGCTTAACTTCAACTGATGTGTGACCTGAGCTCTATGCACAGAACCACACACCACCATCACATTAGTTACATCTATTATGACATGCATTATGAAATTAGCAATGCTGTATTTTAATTTTTTTTCTACTGATATTTGCTGCAGACCTATTGTTCTAGAAAAAACAAACAATCAATGAAGCATGAATGGGTTGATGCTTGTACATGTACAAGTATATATAGTGGCTAACACTTGTCAGCAATTTAGATGCCACGCCATGATTTGGCTAGTAGTGACACATGTGTGTGCATGATAGGGAAACTAGTTATACAAAAAGTACAGGTATTTGGTATTGACAAGCTTTAATATGTTATTTTATTTTATGGTATGCGAAAGAGTTCAAGCCATTGTTAGTTTGATCTTGTTGACTGACCCAAATTTACTCTACATTTCAATTTGATCACTTCTCATTCCAAATGATTGATGACTGAATCCTTGATTTTTCTATATCTTGTTTCAATTGTAAACTGTGATTGAATTCTGAATTCATATACATTTCTTCATCTTTTCAGTCAGAAAAAGCTTGGACTTGCTTACAACAATCGTGGATTTATCCTGTACCAGAAAGTGGATTTTGATGAAGCGATTAATGACTATACAAGAGGTCTAGGCTGTGACCAACATATGTCCTTCACCTTCTACAACCGTGGGCTTATACACTACCGACTTGGTAGGGTGCTGTCTTAAAGAAGCGTATTGTTTTGAAGGGTTGCTGGAATAGCCTATTGGTTAAAGCTGGACTTGCCCAGCGGAAGACCTTGGTTTGTTTATATGGTAGAATATGTGAAACTCTTTTAAAGTGGCCAGAGGTATGATCTTTTGAAAAAAATAAATAAATGTTTTTATTCCATATATGCATCAGGGAAAAAGGAAAACATCTTTTCATTGCTTCTGGTGACTGTTGAATAACACTTCCCACAGCACTATAGTGACTTTAGTTTTACACCACTTTTAGCAATAATCGAGTAATATCATGGTGGGAATACGCCAGAAATGGGCTTCACATATAATACCTATGTGGGGAATCAAACATGGGTCTTCAGCACGACAAGCGAACGCTTTAACCACTAGGCTTCCCCATCACTATAACAAGTTATCTGGGTTCTTAGAAAGTTTTTAAGGGGATGGTATGTCCTATCAGAGACCATATAATCTATTATATGGTCTCTGGTCCTATTCAGACCATTCACAATGGACACTGATGAAGGACAGTCATTTTCAATAATATTTACAATCCAAAAGTGTATCCCTTCTTCACTGCTATTTTAAGTAATAATTCCAAAATAACCAAAAACAAATGGATTATGATGTTGGGTGCTTATAAAATTACTCTCAGGTTCATTTTACTGGATGTTTGTAAACATTCTTACAGGTTGGTAAGAGAAATATTGGAGCAGGTGGCTTGATACAGGAAATATGATCTATTATTTCATGCCTGAGAAAGCAAGGACATTGTCCAAGATCTGTTTACTTTCCATATTACACCAGTTGCATGTGTTGTTTATTACCACAGTAAGCGCACATGTTGTTCTTTGTTCTTCATTTCTGTATTTCTGTTGTGTATTTGTGAACAGTTCTTGTATTCATATGTTTAACTTTTCAAAAATGTTATCCAGATTCCCTATTGTTTTTTTATAACATGATTGTACTGACAATTCTTATTGCTTTAATAACATAAAAAGTGTTGGTTTTGTTTACTTCATGTTGTCAATATGAAAACATTCATTCACTTGAACCTTGTTAATTTTGAATTATATCATACTCTGAGCATGTTACATTTTGTGATTGAATATGATTGGTATAGCTAAATGATTATCTTGTGCACATCGCCAGTACTTTAAAAGCATTTTGGTTAATTGTTTAGGAGCACTGTTGATGATGCAGATGTCCTCTTGATACCTAAGGCATTTTATGTTTTCCTATTTGTGGTTGGGATTTTTTTACATATCTTTTCACAAATGCCATATAAGATCAATACTTTGATGGGTTTTGTCTTGTGACTAATGCTTTGGGGTTATCAATTTTGTACATAAAAGTATGTTTAAAATTATTTTTAATTTTTTTTTTTTTTTTTGTATATGCTTTTCCATAAGAATCATCATCACCCCACCCCCCGAGCCATAAATTATGATTGGTCCCTTAGCTTGTAATTAATTTGAGGATGGGATGGGGGATCAATTATAGCTACCCTGAACTGAAAATCATTTTCATGTGTCATGCTTTTGAGATAATTTAAGAATGTATTCCTCATTTTTTCAGAAAAGACCCAAATTGTTCTTACATAATTTGGTGTGTGTGTGTGTGTGTGTGTGTGTGTGTGTGTGTGTGCCGTGCGTGCGTGCGTGCGTGCGTGTGGTGTGTGTGTGTGAACGGTCCCTGAAAGACTATATACTGAGTAATAACAACGAGGAGTACTTCTCTCTTCATCCTGGCCTGCATTTTGTTGTAGGGAGGTTTGATGAAGCAATCAGTGACATGAAGCAAGCCCTGTCTATTGATCCGGAGTTTGAGTCAGCACAGATCTGTCTCAAACAGTCAATGGACGATCTCAACAAGAGAAAGACAAACATCCACACCTGATGGTAACTCGACCTGCAGCTAAAGGGAGATAACTGGTCAGACTGAAGGGAGATAACTGTCTTGATTGTTGAATGTGCCAAGATGTCATTTTCAATTGATCAACATTGTGTTAAGTTTACAGAAGTTGTGAAAAACAAACAGCTGGACAATTTCTGTTTCTCAGAGATGGGGTTCATTCATGAAGATCTGTTACAGGGAAAATGACCTTTTGGATTTTTTTAAGAATAGGCCAGAAATGGATCTATTTGGCTAAAGATGTCAGCCAACAGATTTATTGTAGGTCCAGAAACATTTTGACCTTTTCCCCAGGAACAGCTCATGCTGAACACGAAAAAGATGTTAATGTTGAATTGTACTGTGGTAGACTGTAATGTGAACACTGTTTGTTACAACCTAGTTCAGCTCAGTGGTCTAGGAAACACGTTTAATGGATTTGTGGTAATTATAGTTGATGTTACACTAAAGGAGGCAGTGTGATAATGTTAAACATCAAGAAGCTTAAGGAAGAGGGAGTATGGATGACTAAGTCATCCAAGGTGCATCAATTCACATCCGTTACAGCCCTTACCAGTGCCTGGATCACTTGGTGTGAGTTGGATCCCAGATCCTGCCTGAAAACACCATACTTATGGATTTTCCTAAGTATTCCTGCCACATGGCATAAACTGAAATAAGTTTCAGAGCATTCAACCAATATCTGCAGGGTTGAATCCTGCCATACCAGTGACACTGCATTGTTGTTTCTATCCCAATCCGTAGGGGTACAGATACACCAGGCATCTTAAAGTGCTACAATTTGCTGTTTGGAGTTATGTCCCTTTGGCACGCCAGAAATATGATCATGGGTTTGAATTCTGGTTCACCCCAGTTCAGTTCCTAGATTTGCCAGAGTGGTAAACGTGGGAGACCTGCATCACTTTGGGGTTAGCCGACATGCCATGATATATCAAAACTACCGTTCGAAGTCGTGTTACACCCAACTCACTCACTTTCCCAGGGTAGAATTCAGCCAAACTCTGTATGTGCACATAGCTAAAGAGGACTGCACTATTGTTTCAATGCATTTTGACAAGTCTTTTCATGGAGGTCGCTGCCAGTGATCAGTGATTGTTAAGTTTAAAACCGCCCGAGGTTTAAAATCGCAGACAGTATAGTAATTAGTGATTAATATTAATAATTAATTGACTGTTTTCTACACATTTTAGTTCCGCCGCTCATGCTTAGATAAATTACAGTGATGAACCATTCATCCAGTGACCTGCCTCTAGTGATGATTGGATGAGTGAAGTGGGCTGACCAACCTGATCTCATTCTCACATCACAGAATACCATAGAACAGGTACATAGCTAACCAGATCACATAGTTGCATACACCCAGTACACTTCATCATGGTGGCTACAAATAAATCAGGTCTTGTACTATTCCATATCAGTGTGTATTAAGACCGATGAGGTCTTGTACTATTCCATATCAGTGTGTATTAAGACCAATGAGGTCTTTTACTATTCCACATAAGTGTGTATGGAGGGAGATGAGGTCTTGTACTATTCCATATCAGTGTGTATTAAGACCGATGAGGTCTTGTACTATTCCATATCAGTGTGTATGGAGATGTGTCGTCACTGGTATTCCAGAAGGGGTAGACCGATGAGGTCTTTTACTATTCCACATAAGTGTGTATGGAGGGAGATGAGGTCTTGTACATAGAGAATACTACACGAGGTCTCATTACATACGAATTATACGAAACGAGTGTCCTTCCTATGGTATCTGACCGAACGAAAGCGAGGTCAGAAACCATAGGAAGCTCACGAAGCTTCATTATAATTCATATGTAATGAGACCGAAAGTGTGGTATTTTATTTATTACCCATGTCTTACATGCATTAAATTGACAAAATAGCGTAGTTTTGGTATTGTTAGGGTTCAAACCGAAACCGGTTTCATAAAGAGGTTATTGGAAGAATTTTGTTCTGACGTACACTTTTGCATGACGACGTCACACTGTATTGACGCCACTCGCCTGTCCCCTTGGTAACCGGCGCCACGATGCATGTCAGTTGTCATCGCCTCGCATACAGCCTCCTTCAGTAAACTACTCAGTAGCACCCGTTTCTTGGTTTGCAACTGCTTCACTTTCGGCTAACATCACTGGTGGAAACATTGCGCTTATGTTTTTCGACGGATATAACGTCTCAGTTCGACTCACAATTAAACAGCGACACGACAACGTTCGCAATGTTTACATTCCCACAATGCATCTAAGTTGTAGAATGAAGGACTTCACGTGTTTGTTATGAATGAACAAGTAGTTCCGTCACAACGTGACCTAACTGAGAGGTCATCGGTTATCCAATCAAATCGTTAGAATCTCAGGTCAAGTCGTTACGACACAGGTCAACGCGATACGACACTCGTGTGACGTACGAGATTAGTATGCATCTACCCATACGTTGACCACGTGGGTAATAATATTCCATATCTGTGTGTACTGAGACCTGTTATCACTGATATTTCAGATGGGGTAGACAGATGAGGTCATTTACTATTCCATATCAGTGTGTTTTGAGACCTGTTATCACAGATATTCCAGAAGAGGTAGACCAATGAGGTCTTGTACTATTCCATATCGGTGTGTGTGGTTCTTAACAAACTGTAAGAATCTAGTATTAGTGACTTGCATCTTGTAAGATGTTGTACCAATATGGACCGGTAATAGTGTGATTGTTAGGTACATGTATTTGGCATTTGTAAATCAGCTTTGCATTGTGCATTTGAATTTGTTTACTTGTGTGAAAATATCTAAGTTATTCATTTTTAAATGATTTCTGTAAAATTGAAATAAAAGTAGTCATCTTATGTTAATTTCATATTAGATCTCTTCACTGAATGAAATGCTGCGATAGGGCTTACCTACATAATTCTATCCTTAAAGGGGAAATGGGAGGGGATGGGAGACATAAGATAACATATGGTGCTTCTACAGTGCTATTAAAATATTGGAAGACATTTTCAGTATTTTGCAAATGCAATACTTGTTGTGTAAGAAGAGATTTATTTCCACATAGCTTCTTACTTGTAATATTTTCTTGTACGCAGTGTCAAAATAGAATCAAAATTGTTTGATTTTTTCCCACATTGTCCTAAGATATATTATAGTTAAAGGTAATTCAAATTGACAAACTATTTCATTGTTGTGATATTGTTTTTATAGAGATATATCTTTAAACTTGGCGGAATTAAGAACTGGAGTTTAAATTCATCCACTAGAACTGAAAAGCTGAGTGCTATTTTTCATTATAGATGTTGATGACAAGTAAGATCTAGTAATACAACTGTCTCAGGAGCTAGGACAAAACTATGTGATATTATGGAGAATATTATGTTGTGAGCAAGGAATATACAGATTTTGTTAAAATTTGAAAAATGAAATATAAAAATATACCCTTTAAAAGAAACAACTGTTATCACAGTCTTTTCACTTCTCCAGACAGTACATACAATTCAGTAAAGATCTGAATCATTTTCCAGGCTGTAAGTAGGTATGGCTGGACATATCTTGTTGGCTTTTGTTGAACTTACTAGTATTTCATGCTGAGAGATTCATGTTCTTATCAGTTCTTCCGAAAGCACTTCAGAGCAGTAGCATACTCGACTTCTGCATTGATTCTTGTGGAGTTGACATCTTTGGATAACACAATCATATGCCATTAACCAGAGATTTAATGTGTATATTGTATCCTTGTGGGACTTTGTGTGTTATGTTTTTTACATTGTAATATTTGCTCAAAAGCTGTTTGTATGAATGACTAGTGATACATGTTTTATGAAGTCAGTATTGAATAAACATTGCCAAACTGTGTTGAAATATTTGTTATTTGTAAACACACCTGTTGAAGGCATTCAGAAGGCATTCATGTTAGCCTGTCTATAATCAGATTTTGGACAAGCAAACCAAAGATTGATAAAATGAGCATTGTATAACAAGGGGGTGGGGGGTGGAGAAGGGGTCACAATGACGCAAACTAAACAAGAATTTCATTTTCATCAACTTCATTAGAAAGGAGCACTACCACCAAATTCAGTTGAAGCCAAAATTGTTGCAATGGAAATGCAAAAAAAACAAACCCATTTTATTCAGAAATCCAAAACTAGCAAACGGCACCAGTTTACCACTAGACCTACCTATGCATGAAATTTCATGATGAAACAGTGAACAGTTTTTAAGCTCTGCTCCAGAAAAGAGTACTACCACCAATTTCAGTCAAAGTGAAACTTGTTGCCATGGAAACGCCAAAAACACTTTATTCAGAAATCCAAAACTACCAAAAGGCACCAGTACCCCACCAGACCTATCTATTTACCACGCTTGGTGAAGAAAGTGAACGGTTTTAAAGTTCTGCTCCAGAAAAGAGCACTACAACCAATTTCAGTCTGTCAAACTTGTTGCCATGGAAACGCAACAAACATTTTATTCAGAAACCCCAAAATACCAAAAGGCATCCAGTAGACCACCAGATCTATCTATGTGCCAAGTTTGGTGAAGAAACATTCCACGGTTTTAGAGTTCTGCTCCAGAAAAGAGTACTACCACCAATTTCAGTCTAAGTCAAACTTGTTGCCATGGAAACACAAATAATATTTTATTCAGAAGTCCCAAACTACCAAAAGGCACCAGTAGGCCACCAGATATATATATGTGCCAAGTTTGGTGAAGAAATATTGTACGGTTTTAGAGTTATGCTCCGGAAAAGATGTGCACGGACGCACGGACAGTCCATTTTAATACCCCCTGCAAAACGTGTTGCGGGGATTAACAATAAATTGTTTCTTGTGGTGAGATGTTTCTTATGAAACTTTGTGATGTGTGCAACCTATGCTAGATGTAAAAGGTCACTAACGCACATGATGGCATGTCATTGTAAACCCTTTGGAAAAGATCGTTGCTCACTGTATCAATGACAGAATTGTCAGGGCCAGACTTGAGTTTGAAGGGGTGGTGGGGTAGCCTAGTGGTTAAGGCGTTTGCTCGTCACGCTGAAGATCTGGGTTCGATTCCCCAGATGGGCACAATGTGTGAAGCTCATTTCTGGTGTCCCCTGCCGTTATATTGCAGGAATATTGCTAAAAGCGGCATAAAACTAAACTCACTCACTCACTTGAATTTGAATATTGCAAAGTGCAGTGTGTTATTTATGCACACATAACACATTGACTCAAACTAACTTATCTCTTGAATTATTAGTATGAATGAAAGACAAAGTGCCTGCTTCAATCTTAATCTCAATCTTGATGAGTGAGTGAGTATGGTTTTACGCCGTTTTTAGCAATATTCCAGCAGCATCACGGCAGGGGACACCAGAAATTGGGCTTCACACATTGTACCCATGTGGGGAATCAAACCCGGGTCTTCAGCATGACAAGCAGGGTTTTACACAGACTTTTAAAAATATTTATTTTTGGGTGTCATTTTCAATATTTGGGAGTCATGAAAATTTTAGTATTTCTTTGTGTTAACCATTCTCAGTATGTAACTGTGTATGTCACACCACCAAATGAAACTACGGCATTGTTCAGTTCAAACAGCCAGGATTACTGTCTCCTCTGAGTTCTCTGGAACAATCTGACAGCTTTGTAAAGTCAAACTATCATTGAGCAATATAAGTTTTAGCTTATCAAATCGATTTTATTGAACTTAATTGTGAGCACACACACACACACCCCTAAAACTTGCATCAAGCTTGACTCGTATGATAATATTTTGAGAGTCGTTTACAAAATGTTGCATCAAATACGCAGGAATCATGCGTCATGTAAAACCCTGGACAAGTGAATGCTTTAACCACTAGGCTACCCCACCGCCCCTCTTCAGGAAGCATCAATGTAAAGTATGAAAAGAATGACATCTCCTTACCAACATAAACATTCAACACCAATGTCTCTTGTAAATATTTATTTTATCATACAATGAAATGAGTTTATTTACAAAATGATGAATGCACCCTCCAATTCATTCTTGAGACCTGAAAGAGGTACCTAGTCTGCAGCGTGGAACTGGGCAACCGTCATTGGACTGCTGGGGAAGTAACCCTACTGTACAAGGACATACTGAAGTCTGTGGTAAGTACATAATGAGAAGAAATAACCTGGGAAAATGTCTTTCATTGGAAAATACTTCACAGATCAAAGAAACCTTACATGTGTCCAAAAATAACAGTCTATGAGCTGTGACAGGTATAACTCTGAAGCGCTAGCATTGACTTACATAGGTTACAGTGTGAAGGTCAAGGACCCTGTTCCACAAAGCAATCTTAGCCCAAACACTCTTGTCTGCCACACATTCACAAAAGCTAAACCCGTCCCGTCCCATCCTTATTACCCACAATAACTGCTGTAGATTTAAGATTAATTGATTTTTTGGAAATAAAATTCATTGTTTTCAAAATTATAACTTCCTTTAAACATTGCAAACTGTTCTTCTTCAGTGTGACACTATACTGTTCATTAGGCTGTCCCACAGACAAAGTACACAATGCACATGCACCCAGTACGCACTCAGACATACACTGTTGCGTCTGTCATAGTTCTCTTTTTGTCACCGAGTCAATACACATCTGCTGTAGGTATGAGGTCACTCTATTTCTCCGAGGAACATCTTCTTATCACTGGAACAGGAGAGCACTGGAAAGAAACAAACAGTCTTCAAACCTCCACAACATATATGCATGTAGCATAGACATTAGATTGTGTGTATATTACACAGCATGGAAACTACATTGCAAAACATATAAAAACACTTATTTTTCTAGTGAACATGGCACAGAGACAATACTGTATACTCATCACCCAACAAAAGCAATAAACTCAAAATATTCAGTCACATATCTGAACAACCTGTTTCTTATGTATACTTATCACCCAAACTAGGCAATAACTCAAAATGTTCAGTCACATACCAGAACTACCTCATTCTATTTGTTATCCAGAATATTATGCTCTACTGACAAATGAAACTTTACAGAACTTAAGCATTACCTATTGGTTCATGAGGGTGGAAGTCCACTTCATTGACGGAGCCTGCATGACCAGGAAGTTTGTATAAGATCCTTCGTGATGTCGTGTCCCACACGTAGACAAAGCGGTCACCAGAACCTGCCGTCACCTTGCTGCCATCTGCTGACCACGAACAGTGCAACAGATTCTGAAATGAAAAACTACGCATAAAACAAGAACTTGGATAACTTTGTATAAAATACACTTGCAAAGAGACTTTCTGGTATTAAGTTTTCAAACTGTTCATCTTGGATATGTGACTTAACATGAAAAGACTAACTGACTGACCGAGTATGATTTAAGCCGCTTTTAGCAATATTCAAGCAATATCACGGCAGGGGATACCAGAAATGGGCTTCACACATTGTACCTATGTGGGGAATCAAACCCAGGCCTTTGGCGTGACAAGCAGATGCTTTAACCACTAGGCTACCCCACCGCCCTAACATGAAAAAGAAGGAATGCAGTAAGAAGGTTATGAATGGTAAACTGGAAAGCATGCACATTAAGTATTGCTATATCCACTGTCTGCTATGGCTCTTGATTAGGCCAAATTCTGTTTCATATCTTATGGCTTATTTTTTAAGCATTTTCAGCACAAATAGGTTAAATTTAACCACAAACTGAATGATGGTATGGGATAAATATTATTACATCTTTTCCAGACATGTTTTTTTAATAAAAAAGGATAGGGAATACGAAAATATTTTCGATATACTTTTATAAAACTGTGTGCTCAGTATTCCCCTAAAATATTCATTATTCCTAACTATATTTGTTCAGTATAAAAATGCTTTAATTGATCCGAAACTGAAAAGTCGAAGAGTGTGTACATTCACACAACCTTTAGGAAAACCATAGATGTCTGTAAGTACCAAATATGTGAACAACTGTAACTGCAAGAGAAAGTTTACTTAATGCTTTGTTTTGACCTCATCCCTAAGATTCGGTTGACATCATATTGCCCGTTCTTAGTGACAGGACGAGTTGGGTTTATCTCAACTTTGAACAATATTCCAGTGATATCATAGCAAGTTAGCTTCATGTGGGAGGTAATGAGAGAGGAAAGTCCAAAGTGATCTGGTCTCAGACATTTACCATATTGGTAAGTACTGGTATGGGCATCGACTGGGATTCAAACTTATATGAAAGTTTTCTGGTATGCCCAGCTTCTGCATCTAAGACAACTTGGCTACCTGCCCCCTTTGAAGGTAGTAAAGCTGACAATGCAGTAAAACACTGCTGACCCCCAATAACTGTACCTTTTCAAATGTATGTTGATGACCTTGAAATATCTTTACACATCGTTCCTGGGGTGCAAAGGGTCGGATATCCCACACTCTCACTGAAACAGAACATAACAGTTCAGAGTGGCTCTTGACCACATGTGCCAAGTCCCCTCCAAAAATGCTTTATGAAAGGAGTAAACATGGTCTGCAATGTTTCAGCTGTATCCCAGCAACCTGTGGAGACATCAGGCCCTTAATATACAAACCAGTGGTTGATAGTATGACCATCCATCCAGACAGAGGGTAACAGTGGTACTGTAAACGTATTATATTTCGTGCAGGTTTCATTTTCACGCTTTTCGCGCAAAACATTTTAGCGCGAAAATTTATACACCGCGAATAAACCTGTCATTCATTCAGTCTAGCCACGCTCGCCCCTGAGTTGTTACCATAACACATCAAGTTTGAAGACAGAAATCTACGGGATTCTTATAAAGGCGACTGATAGTAGCATAAAGAATCATACTTAACTGTCGCTGTAATGTATTTCCCAAAACATAATTAAATAATGAGCCAAATCCCATCGCCGAATTAGCGAAAACAGCAATGTGTGTTGTGGCCGCCATGGAAATTGGTCACATGACAGATGGTTTGATAAAAACAGATTACCATGAAACGACTCGGAAAGAAATAATACAGCAGTATTTTATTTATTCATTAAGATTTTATTTACCAGTACATCATGAAGCGAATAGTCACTTAACACTCAATCATCTCATTCACAACAACCCGGCTTGTTTGAAATCACAAAGAGCTTCATATACAGTAGAAGTTAATTCGTCAGATCGTCAGAATTCGGGAACATAAGACTGATGTGTTTTTCATCTCTTCCATGAGTAAACGGATTACTGTGTACTAGTATATCGCACAGATAGGGATTTCCTGTGAGTATGCAATAAACGCCGCCTGACAGGTTAAGCCACTCTGATTGTTTTCACTGCTATTAGTGGCGGCCAAAGAGACAGCTGGCAGTTCCGGCAATTACTGATTGCGTGAATAATTGACCGCGCGATGTAGTCCAAACTGTCAATTCCGCGAAAATTGCACCACGCGAAAATAAGTACGTTTACAGTATATCTTTTCTAGGCAACAAGCAAGCATGTGAATGGAAGTTTACACTAAAATTAGCAATATTCCAGTCAGAGGATATAGTTACACAATCTGCCAGGCTTCCACTGAACCATCTGATGATTGGTTGGCTACAACAAGAAGCATGGGATACAGGGGATATATACTGAAGGAAACAAATATGGGAACACCACTTCATGGCAGTGTTCCTTTATTTATTTCCTCCCACAGCACTATTCAACGCTGGTGATGAAAACTCGAAAATAATAAAGGAACGCTTGAATTTTCCTGTGTTCCTATATTCCGCCTTGTAATCCCCACTTTGAGGGTATAGTGACATATTCTGCCAGGCTTCCACTGGACAATCTAATGATTGGCTGGATACTACAACAAGCATGGGATACTGGGGTTATATTCTGCCTTGTGATCCCCACTCAGAGGATATAGTGACATAATCTGCCAGGCTTCCACTGTACCATCTGATGATTGGTTGGCTACTACAACAAGTAGGGCTGCGCAATATAACCGGTTTACCGGTATTTACCGGTTCAGACATGAAAACGATACGTATTGCGATACGCTGATCGAAAACCGGTATTTTGACATGTATTCGGAAAACGTCGTAACACATGGAAATCTTCGGATATTTCCTTGTTTTATTTGTGCCAAATATTATTCACATTTTTATTCTATCATGATTAAAATTTGTTATTAAAGCTTAATCAAGCATAGTGATTTTGTTGTGTTTTTGCTCTATAAATCAAGCAGTAACTCGATTATATGTAGTTTTTTGTTTAAAAATACTTCATGCAATATATTGCAATACATATCGCAATACATGCTTTCGCATCGCAATATATCGTAATATGAATATTCTCTGCAATACCCACCCCTAACAACAAGCATGGGTTGGATACTTGGGACCCCCAATCAGAGGTTACGTCAATACTGTACATGTTAATATACTGATGCTCCTATGGCCTTACATGTATTATCCATGGCATTAGAGAGGAGATAGGAGCCATCTGGGCTGACTTCAATCCCTGTAACGGTGTCAGAGTGGCCTCTCATTCGATACAGGACATCGTTCTTTCTTAAGTCCCATACCTGGGAAAACAAGCAAAACAATGTCTTAAACCCCTTGAAACATTAAATTCTTGGAAATAATTCACCAAGAACTGATAGCAAGTCACAAGTAAATCAGAATTTGTAACATAATATGATTGTCAGTGCATAATAACTGCCACAGATGACAGATTTGATTTGATGAATTTTTAAATTGACTGCAATTCATTAATGCTAATTATACCAATAAACCAAGAATGTGACAGGGTAAATGTTGACATACTGACATATATATTAAGTCACTCTTGACAGTACAAAACAGACAAAACCTGTCTTCTATCTTTCTGTCACCACAATTCATAAAAAATGCAATATAGCTACTTCACCATAACTGGTTTATGTGTATTAACACAAACAACCATGGTGATAATATAAACATTGCTGGGTGAATGTTTAAAGTTTGGTTAGTCTGCTTGTTGTTTAACCCCACACTCATTAATATCCTGACTATATGACAAAGATCTATAAACTTGTACCACTAAATCAGACAATCAACAGATTGACACCACATGCATCAGTCCATACAGTTGGGAGGCAATGCTATGCATCTACTATGACAGGGAAAATGATCACCCAATCACATTAGGCATCTCTTTTGACAAGCATGGGATGAAGAAGACTTATGCTAAAGTATCAGTATAAATAATCGTGTTTATTAATATACACAATCAAATATAACAGCATAGACAATTATTTGTATCAGTATACACAATCATGTGAATCAGTATAAACAACCATGTCTGTCAGTATATACCATCATGTTTGTCAGTATAAACAATCAGTGTGTCAGTATAAACAATCATGTGTGTCGGAATAACAATCAGTATGTCAGAATAAACAATCAGTGTGTCAGTATAAACAATCAGTGTGTCAGTATAAACCATATGTGTCAGCATTAACAACAATGTGTGTCAGTATAAACAAACAATCAGTATGTCAGAATAAACAATCAGTGTGTCAGTATAAACAATCAGTGTGTCAGTATAAACAACCATGTGTGTCAGTATAAACAATCAGTGTGTCAGTATAAACAACCATGTGTGTCAGTATAAACAATCAGTATGTCAGAATAAACAATCAGTGTGTCAGTATAAACAATCAGTGTGTCAGTATAAACAACCATGTGTGTCAGTTTAAACAATCAGTGTGTCAGTATAAACAACCATGCGTGTCAGTATAAACAATCAGTGTGTCAGTATAAACAATCAGTGTGTCAGTGATAAACAATCAGTGTGTCAGTATAAACAACCATACGTGTCAGTGTAAGCAATCAGTGTGTCAGTATAAACAACCGTGTGTGTCAGTATAAACAATCAGTGTGTCAGTATAAACAATCCGTGTGTTAGTATACACAATCATGTGCCAGTATAAACAATCAGTGTGTCAGTATAAACAACCATGTGTGTCAGTATAAACAATCAGTGTGTCAGTATAAACAATCAGTGTTAGTATAAACAATCATGTGTGTCAGTATAAACAATCAGTGTGTTAGTATAAACAATCAGTGTGTCAGTATAAACAATCAGTGTGTTAGTATAAACAATCATGTGTCAGTATAAACAATCAGTGTGTCAGTATAAACAATCATGTGTGTCAGTATAAACAATCATGTGTGTTAGTATAAACAATCATGTGTGTTAGTATAAACAATCAGTGTGTCAGTATAAACAATCATGTGTGTCAGTATAAACCATATGTGTCAGTATAAACAACCATGTGTGTCAGTATAAGTTAGCATAAACGACCATGTGTGTCAGTATACACAATCATGACATAAACACTCAATCTCACCTTGATGTCATTGTCAATCCCACCAGAGAAGATCTGTTCTGCTGTATCGTTGAAACTGACGGCTGTTACTTGGTATGTGTTCTGGAATGTCTGTATAACACCCTTCTTTCTGGCATCCCACAACTGGAACGAAACAACAGCACTGTACACACAACTCTCCAAAGCGGAATAATGATCATCTAGTGAATGCCTTTTCACAATGCCTTTCAACAAGGTGAGGTGACTTGTGGTCTTGCACTAGTCTAAACTTGTGCAGGTTTAGTGCTTGCCCAGTGAGATGCCATGCCAAAGTTAATCATGGTGCATATCCACCACAGACACATAATGTGTACCAACTACGAGCTGAGCAGTTCTTGTTTCATTCCTTTACTGCTGAACGCCAGGCTGTAACCAAACTCATTCATAAAACCTAACAACACCAGTAGTGGTAGGATATACAAGTACATCTTCCTGATGCAAGAGAATAACCTGACTATAACAGTCCAGTTTCCACCCTTGGCAAACTCAGCTGGAAATTCATCTTCGTTCAAAGTGCCAGCAGTGGCTATTATGAGTTAAGTCCCTTTTATGTACCTGCTGTTGAGATTCAGATCAGATTTGACTTCTTGTACCTCTGCCTCAAACAAGAAGGAAGAGCCCAGTCAAGAGTCACTTACATGCGATGATTAAAAACATTAAGATATATGGCAAATATCTGTCAACACCCTGCCGGCAGCATACTAACATATTTTGCAAATTCCGCAAATTGCACAGCAGTCGCCACATTATTTATGAGGTGGATGTCAATTTGGTTACACCATTGATGAAAGGACTATGCAAAGACGCATTAAGCCTTACCAATACAAAACACAGAAATTCCAGTCTAGTTTGGCATGGGTGGATAATGGACTCTGAGTCAACTCCCTTGCATAATGAGGATGGAGGGCACAAAGTACTTCTGATAATGGAATGGATATGAGACATTTTAATACACTCCACACATGCTTACTTTGACTGTTCCATCATCACTTCCTGTGCACACCAGCTGTGGACCCCTTCTCGCAGGATTACATGAATTTACAAACGTCTGGTGACCTTTCAACTTGCGTATTCGTGTTCCTGAATCAACATCCCACACTGCACCTGTCTTGTCAGTTGATACAGTGAACAACATTCTGGAAAGACATGAAGGAGTGAATGTGTTCATAAAGTTAAATATTGGCAGAATGGGACAGCATCTGCAACAGAATTTGAATTACTATGCAGCAATATGCATGAGCATGGATTGATCGAGGTGTTCAAAGAGGCTAATATATGACCTCAAGTCTACAGTGAATTTCGTACAAATTCCAAAATTGGACTATCTTTTACTTTATTGCTTTGTGAAAATGACATGCACTTTATATACAACAGGACCAGTAAAGAGGTAAAAGCCTTAACTGGATTAATACTTAAACATATAAACGACTACCATTACCACACCTTTTGGAATCCAGATGAACCTGGTACATAACTGTTTCACTTGCTCTTATCAAAACCTGACTAAGTCCAAACAAAAACACTAATAGTTTATGATATCCTCATAAGTGCAGGTCATACTTCCACACATTAACCCCTACTGTAGCTCAGTCTGTATCATTTAGTTTTTAAAGATAAACCAAATTAACCACCAGTTTGAAGACTGTGCGAAGAAATATATAAAAATATAAACCAATCGCAAGTAAATATTCCTAGACTTGCAAGACTTTGACACAAACAGTTTCAGTTCAGATATTACCCTCCATCTGTGGAGAATTCTAAATCCATCACAGCTCCTGTGTGCCCTTTCAGTACTGTAAAGTTCTCACATTCTCCATATACTGTCCAAAAATCTAAAAACCAAAACAGAATGAAGACGCACAAATATAATACAGTTCTTGATAATCATTTTGAACTAATATATAAAGCCTTAGCAATCACATTATGGATTAACAGGATATATCGAAATGCACTGTAACAGAAAAGTGTCTGCTGGAGAAGATGGTTTGTCAGCCATTTTCACAGCTAACATGGAACGTCTTTTTAGAGTACTTTAATTCCATAAAAAGCTGCCAAAAGGTTACTAATGCATTGCAGCAAGGTTAAATCGATGGCTAGACAAATGCATCCACAAAATTTATCGTTCACCTGAATGTTTCTGGAATACTATTAACAGTAATAACATTGATTTGCAGAACATTTTGATGGAGTGCCTTTTAATTGATGATAACTTCTAATTTGAGTAAATATTTCAAAAATAATGTTGCACAAAACAATAACTCAGTTCTCAGATTACTCACATATGAGACGGTCAAACCCTGATGAAGCAATTAACTGCCCGTCTGGAGAGAATTTGGCAGTAAATATTTCTCCCTCATGGCCTGTAAGCAGCATGATTGGTCCATCAAGACTAGATGTCCGAGGTGGACCCTGTCGGATTCAACAAAGAGAAAATAATATTAAAATCATGAAATATGTTTTTACCACAAAATTTGCAGAAGAAACCTAGGAACATATTTCAATTTGCAGTTTCAAACCAGTATTTTATTACTTTTCTGATGCTGGCAAAAATAGCTTTTCCCATTTCTTAAGCCTATTACACTTAAATGCTGTAATTCAAGTCAGAATTCCCCAAAAGAAACTCTGACATCACGTCAGACCTCTAAGAAAAATAACTAATACACCCTTTTCCTCCATCTAATTGCTCCCTTTCGTAACCAATTAAATAAGTCAACAATAATAAAACACTATACACGGGAGGAGAAGGGAGACAATCCGCGAAAGCATGAGTATGATCAAGCCGATTTACACGATCAACTTACACTCTGACTCTGCAGTAAAGCACCGTTCGTTTCGCCGTCTGCTAACACAACTTCATTTCCCCGTGCTCTTTTCACAGGTACCAAAGCTCCGTCCATTGCCTTTCGCTTGTGATCCATGTTTACTATTTACTTTAGAAGCGACAGTATCACGCTTCTTTCCAAACCGGAAGTTTGTATGTTAGGACATGCGCATCTCACTTCCGGGAACCTGCGGCATTATAGACTATTTCAAAGTTGTCTTCTTCGATGGGCATTTTAGAAGTTGAGTTGATCACATCCGACGACCATTGAAGCAGCAAGCTGACATAGACTTCACCTTCCAAAGAGGCAACAGCATCCAGAACCTCTTGCAGGCCACAGGAAGACCTAGGTCGTCCCAGAAGCAAGACCCCTCAGGTGTGGTTTACCACATAGAATGTGACTGCGGTGACTCCTATGTTGGAGAAACACCAAGGCCACTCACCCTGAGGAACACCAGGCTTCAGTTTAGGAAAAATGATTCTAAATCAGCCATTGCCGACCACATCAAAGCCCATCCTAACCACACCATCAAATGGGACAAGACCAAAACCATAGTGAAGAACCAGTCTGACTACAAAATTCGTAAACCTTTGGAAGCAGTACACATCAAGAAGATAGGACTTCGCCCTCAACAGAGATGAAGGATACTACATTTCCAATGCCTACCATCACTTGATAAAGTAATCAATAATATTTCTTGTGTACATTACCTGTTTCATTCCAACTATGTACATCTACCCGATCCATTGTATAAACATCCACCTGGCTTCCTATCAGTTGTATAAGCTCTAATTCAGTCCTTGTATGTCACCCTACTGTCTTCCTATCAATTTACTTAATCTCTCATACAAACGTTGTACATCAACCTCATCTATTGTATAAACAACTCATTCCCTATCTACTGTAACAACAACTCCTGTATATGTTCTCTCAATTTGTTACTCATGTATCACTTGCTTGACAACGACATTAGAGCTATGTCGAAACGTCGCCTCCACAGAATAAAAGAAGGTGTATATTCATAATAATTGTCATTATTCTTCTATTTCAAGGTTGTGACGTGGAATTTTGGAGTCTTTGAGTACCGCTATTGAAAACTATCACGAACACCTAATATTTGGTTCAATCAGAAGCAACTTAAAACACGTGTTACTGATTTGTAGATCGTTTAGATGAAATCTGCATCTAATGTGTGTATATAGTCATGTATCGAGGTATGAAAGACAGGTAGGCTATCGTTATGGGTATTATATATATAATAATCACTTTATGAAGTCAGACAGACAGAAGTAAAAGAACGGCCTAAAACGTCTTTCAGTATACGGTTGTAAACGCGACAGCGCCCACACAACCGTTATTCACATATCCGCTCTCTTAAATCTATATGCATTCAAATATTATTTCATGCCATGACATTCTTACCCTGTCCTGCGCAAGGTATATCGGACTTCATACAAATTGTCAGTCTCGGCAGAATATCTAGATACACCTGTAACATATGTTATATTTGGGACTACACTTTCTCAGTCAAGTACAGAATCTAGTACTTTTGTTAGGTTGAGTCCCATGCGGGATTCGAACCCACACCCTCAGAGTCAAGCAGCTAATCGCCAGCACACAAAGTCAGCCGCCTAACCCGCTCAGCTATACACATGGAAGTCGGACAACTACTGTCTAGACCACGGGCTTTGTGTACCCCTCTTATAAGTGTAAACTGGCACGGCTCTCACGGCCGAAAGCTATGAATACATTTAAATTATGAATACATATAAATGCCATTTAGAAAGTGGTCAAATGTAACATATGTTATATATTTGGGATTACACTTTCTCAGTCGCGGTGAATGAGCGGGGTAGGTGGCTGACTTTGTCTGCTGGCGATTAGCTAGGTGCCTGACTCTGAGGGTGTGGGTTCGAATCCCGGATGGGACTCAACCCAACGAAAGTACTAAAATCTGTACTTGACTGAGAAAGTGTAATCCCCCAGTATAGGATGTGTCTGTTACATTTGACCGCTTTCTAAATGTCATTGTGTATCCATAGATCTATAAACCTGCATTAATCGAAAAAGCAACCAATCCTGTCTTTACAACGAAATCAAAGGGTTGACAGAAGAGGTATCAGGCAAAACCAACACCAGATTAAAACAGATGCCATAATAATATTTGTTGTAACAAATGATCAATGCTGAAACATGAAGGAATAATTAACATAACACTTGTTTGCTATTCCAGATGCAAATATTTCACGGGCGATGTTCAGTAATGTATCAATGTACAAATAAATTAAATCAGCACACACATAATTAGCGTCGTTCCATCGATTTGCCATTTATAACCAGTTATGCCACATTTACATATATATCCACTGGTGTTCTTGATACACAAAGACACGTAGTATTAGGGATCGTTCATAATTTATGGTTAAGGGGGGTGATGATGATTTTAGGAGGGGGGGGGGCACCCATTTTGTTCAGCAATTTTGTACACATGTACTAGGGTGAGTCAGCAATTTTGTACATAAAAATACAACATTCTGCTTAAAAAATATGGGAATGGGGAGGGGTCATTGATTTTGTACATGATATGCAAGGGGGTCACTTACTTTTGTAATACGTAAATTTTAGGGGTCATTCACATTGTACATGCTTCTGAATACAAATCATCACCCCACCCCACCCCCCCCATCCCCTTGCTATAAATTATGATCGGCCCCTTACTTCTTTTGGTAGTATAGTACCTTCACAATGTTATAATAAAATAACCAATATGGGCTAGACTAACGATTAGTCTCTGAATATATATAAATTTGATAGTAACAAATAAACCCATTTAAACTGAAAAGGAGCCCCAGTGAGATGGGAGATTCAGGACCTGATAAAATCTAGACTTGCTTCAATTAGTTCTTTAGCATTGTAGGGAGAGCTCTTTTCTACTTAGGGAAAATATTGTGGTTCAGAGACGGTGAGACAGACTAAATATGGGCTTGTGGAGTCTTTCAAACTAATGTAAAGTACGCCCCAGTTGTACTGATGTGCGCAACTGAATGTTCGGAATACCTTATACATTTTCAAACACCTTAACCTTTTCAAAATAAATTACCAGATAGAAACGTGTCATTCCCTTTGAGTCTCACACAAATTCCCGTCTCGAAGTGAAACGAAGTTGTGCCCAGTTACTAGTATCCAGTTTAGCCGGGAACAGACTATAGATCGGAGCGCCCTCTTACGGAAAGGTTTGGCGTCATCCTGGCGGATATGAGATATTTTTCGTGAACTCCGGGGCCAGTTTTAATCATATCATTTCAAAACACTGTCCGGTAAATTGTACACAACAATACGATTAAATCATCAGTTATCGACTGACAACAATGTTAACGTGAATAGTCAAGTTGTTTGCCACTGTGCATAAAATACCATTCACAGGTCAGACACTGAAGCCCCTTCCCATTCTGTTCTGGCAGAAATACTTTTGTTCTTGATCGATCCCATTTCCTCCTGCCAGCCTATGTCTGAAGATACATCGATGGCGCTTTAAATGACACTGTTCTTCAGAAGCATAACATAATTCTATCCACTGTAGCCAGCGTGGTTATGCACGAAGGTTTGCCTTCGACTCAGAAATGGACATTTTTAATTAGCTCGAATCGCCTTTGAAATCAGACGTTTCTTCTTCTAGGGTATAAGATGGGCGACAGTGAGGATGAATACGATACAAGGAGGAAAGGAAGAGACAAATTCCGACGTGAGAGAAATGATTATGATCGTCGAGATGATAGACGAAGAGAGAACTGGGACCATGACAGGTCGGACCAATGATCATTATCATTACGCTTGTTCAACAAACAAATATTTACATTGTTCTGACTTAATCAGTGTGGAATTCAAAGTAGAAACAATTCTCAGAAACCAGTTATACTTCAGGATTTTATGCCTCCAGCTAGAATATGACCATTCTTTTTGATTGTGGGTTTTGTTTGAAAGGGACACTTCAAAATTGCGACAAAGTCTTAATTCAAATAACACACACAGGTTTCGCTGTTGATGAAAGTTTGTTGGAATTCCTTTGTATTGAGGAAATAAATAAACCAGACAAGTTGTTTATTTATGCCTTATATTTTTACTGTTTCATATTGCCCTTTTATCTTCTAAGTGTGACGGGCTTAGGGGTGGCCTAGTGGTTAAAGCGTTGGCTCGTAACGCCGAAGACCCGGGTTCGAATCCCCACATGGGTACACCCCCGCCGTGATGTTGCTGGAATATTGCTAAAAGTGGCGTAAAAACCAAGCTCAGTCAGTCAGTCAGTCTAAGTGTGACCATTTTGACTGATATGTCTGTCTTTCACACTTTTCACTTTTTGCCATTAATTATTAGAGGGTTCCAGAATCAATTAATATGTCTCAGTTGTGAATTTTCTGCTTATGTTTTACCATACCAATACTTAATCCTCTGGTTTCCGAGATTTGACTAGTTCAGCAATCATAAAATAATTGTTAATTTCAACATAGACGAGGTTCTGGTGGCCGATCAAGGGATGCATGGAGCAGCAGAAGTAATCGTGACAACAGACGTGATCCATATGGGCGAGATTATGAGCCTCGTCGAAGAGAAAGGTTCAGCCCAACACGTCATGACATGAGCCCTCCCCATGCTAAGCGTATGCGGAGAGACTGGTAAATAAACTTGTTTATGAGTAAATTTGGCAAATAGTCTGACCACTTCAGAATGTCAGAATGTATTTGTTTTCTGTCCTTACATTGTCAGGGGTGGAAATAACCCATTGCCAGACGTCCGAGTCCAGTGGTTTTTTTCTGTCGGGCAAGCAAATTTGTATATCACACTGTACCGGTGTCCAGTAGACTTTTGAATGTTAACTATGTTGTTTATTTAAAAAATCAGCAAGAAAACGGTTGGTTATAGTGGAAAAATTATCAGGGCAAGTGACTTTATATGTGCCACTGTACCGGAGTACACTATCAATTGTATGAAATTATGAAAGTCATGGGTTTTGTCCTTAATCTGATATTAATATATGCAGATTCTCTGATGTTAATATATGCAGATTATGGGGTTAGTAGGTTCAAATTCGATAGGACCACGTGGATTCAAGGAACTTATATTTTAATGCTGCCATAAATGTTTGGACATTGTTTGAGGTTAT